CACTCACCTCAGCCTCCCAAAGGCACGGGATTACAGGCTGAGCCACCAAGCCCGGCTCGCAGGTTGATTTTTACCAAAGATGATGCATGTGCTGTGTCTACAACTTCATGCTGTCTAATGAGAGACCAGATATTAATATTGACTTAAGAAAAACTAAGAAGACATAAATACCAATATAATACCCTTTATAGGATTGAATATAAAAGGCATTCAGATTATTGGATCTTCTAAACAAGCTACTTTTCCATGGGTCATCCATGTTAGGGTAAAAACAATATAAGACTGATATAACAGGATTAACTTAAAACAAACAAACAAACAAACATACCAGCATTTACACATCCAAATGATGGCTGCCTCCTTCTGGTCAGTCAGTCACCTCGGGAAGCTACGCCCTTATTCCAAGGATGCTGCCATTGCTCAGAGCACTTTTGGAATTCGTCTTTTGGAAGTTTCTTCAGAACCTGTGGCACATCATTAAACATCTTGTCAGTGATCACAGATCTTCAGTCAATTAGTTTTTTTGGAAACAGCCAAAAGTCACTCAGAGGGATTTCAGTAAATGAGGTGTGTGATCAAACTGAATAAAAACATTTTGGATCAAAAGAGAGGAGTAACTAAAAAACAATAAGACTAATTTTCTTTTGGAGGCATGTAAACTGGCTCTGAAAGAAGTTCCAAAGAATTCACAAGGTGTTTTTAGCAATGGCAGTACTGCTGAAATCAGTCAGTCTCTTGGGAGACTTAGGATAAAAATCATTCGGATGCAAGGACAGGGGTCACTAAACTGTAATTCACAGATCCAATCTGGCCCACCACTTGTTTTGTCTGACCCACACGCTAACAAGAGTTTTTACATTTTTGAATGGCTGAAAACGAAGCAAAAGAAAAGCAACATTTTGTGACACATAAAATTCAAATTTCAGTGTCCATAACAAGTTTTAATGGAACACAGCCAGGCTCATTATTTACATATTGTCCACAGCTGCTTTCACACTACTAGGGCAGAACTGAGCACATGGCCCTCAGAGCCTAAAATATTTTCTATCTGGCCCCTTACGAAAAAAGTTTGCTGACCCATTTTAATGTTTTACCAACAAGTCATTCATAAGTTTAAAGTCACATCTCATATTAAGAATGAGCCTACTTTTTGTATCTAAGCCAGTAAATTCACATAAATATACATAATTTCTCATTTTAAAATGTTTGTTATTTTGGAATCTACTAAAGCTGTATATATACAAATACTATGACCCAGTGATTCACTCCTAGGAATATACCTGACAGAAATACACACATAGGGCCGGGCTTGGTGGCTCATCCTGTAATCCCAGCACTTTGGGAGGCCGAGGAGAGAGGATTGCCTGAGCCCACGGGTTCGAGACCCACCCGGGCAACTTGGCGAGACCCTGTCTCTACAATAAATAAAAAATTAGCTGAGCCTGGTAGCATGTGCCTGTAGTTATGGCTACTTGGAAGGCTGAGGCGGAAGGACCGCCAAAGCCCAGCAGGTCGAGGCTGCGGTGGCCGTGAGCGTGCCACTGCACTCCAGGCTGGGCGACAGAGTGAGACTCCAACTCAAAACAACAACAACAACAAAATACACACATAGGTTCAAAAATCATGTTAGGATGTTTACAGCAGCATTCTTCAAAATAACCCAGAAATAGAAAATACTCAAATACTCATCATAATAGAATAGGTAGATAGATTATGTTCAAATAATGCAATACTATAGAGCAAGGGAGGGTCCCCAACCCCTGGTCTATGGCCTGTTAGGAACCTGGCCACACAGCAAGAGGTAAGCAGTGGGCAAGCTAGCAAAGCTTCATCTGTATTTACAGCTGCTCCCCATCACTCACATTATCGCTTGAGCTCTGCCTTCTGCCAGATCAGCAGTGGCATTAGAGTCTCATAGGAGTGTGAACCCTATTGTGAACTGCACATGTGAGGGATCTAGGTTGCAAGTTCCTTATGAGAATCTACTGCCTGATGATCTGAGGTGGGGCTGAGATGATAATGCTAGCACTGGGGAGCAGCTGCAAATACAGATTAACATTAGCAGTGAGGTTTGACTGCAGAAAGGCCATAATAAATCAACTGCTTACTGACTCACATCAAAGCCCTATCCATGAGTGACAAGTGAGTTGATGTACTTCAATTGTACAGCTGCATCCGGTGGCAGGCTTTAAGTTAGAATCTGACACTTATTTTAGTTTGCAAGTGGCTTGCCCATTATTTTATTTACCACTTCCATCCGTGCCTTTTTTAAAATGGTGAACTGTATAATAATTTCATTATATATTACCATGTAATAATAATAGAAATAAAGTGCACAATAAATGTTATACGCTTGAATCAGCCCAAAACCACCCTCCCGTACCCTCAACCCCATCCGTGGAAAAACTGTCTTCCAAGAAACCAGTCCCTGATGTCAAAAAGACTGGGACCACTGCTACAGAGAAATGAGAATGATGTGTAATTATATGCAACACTATAGATGAGTGTCACCAACATAACAATGAATAAAGGAAGCCAGACACAAAACTACCTATCTTTCCATTTCAATAAAGTTTTAAAATGAGCAAAACTAACAGAGGTCAGGATTCTGGTTATCCTTGAAGACTGATGATGGCAGTGACTGGACAGGACTCAGGGTGGACTTCTGGGTACTAGTAAGGTTCTGCTCCTTGATCTAGGCACTGTACAGAAGTATGTTCCTGAACACCCAAGGCATGGGCATGTTTCTGTTTATTACATCTCAGTAACAACTTAAAAAATGTCTGCTATTTTCTCTGCACTTTCATCTTTCAACATCTGAAGTATGTTTAATTAATATGTTTAAATTTCACAAATGGCTAAAACTTTAAATCTTAACTTAGAATGACAGGGTACTGAAGCATGCTTCAGTATAAGGGTGAAAATCAACACAAACATGTCTTAAAGCTCATGTGTGCTTTAGGATCCTACAAAAGTTATGAAGTCCTTTCTTTTGGTCACTGTGGAGTTGCCAGGACCCAGGATAGGAATCTCCCCTACAAGCAAACTGGACATTTAAAAACCATTTCTGTGTTTGTTCCTCTGTAAGACAGGTCTTTGTTATACTGATCCAAGGGGGTTGGGTTCCAGCACAATGGGACATCGTTCCCAGACCTTCAAATATCTGCCACAGAAATCACTTTGAGATGAGTTCTACATCCATGACTGACTAACATGCTGGCTTTTTTCTAATTGAAAGCTAAATTTTCCCTCAACTCTGTCTAACAAGCTGTTTTCCCTGGACCAGCGGGTATCAATTCCTGAGGTGCCTAAAGAAAAAAAAACAATACCCAAGCCCCATCCCAGATAAATTAAACAATTAATATTGATTCTAACATAACAACTTAAAAATCTGCATTTTTGAAACCACCTTCCCCCTCCCCAACTGGGTTGTAAATGTGCAGCCAGGTTGTGAAATTCTGCCCAGATTTTTTTATTCTCTAACCCTGATCCACGTCTAAAATCAGACTCAGAAACAGCATTCCTTCTGTCCTTCTAACTTCCAGACCCCACTAACCCTGCTCAAGGTGTCATCCAGTCATTCAACAATTTGGCTGCTTTGGCTCATATCACAGATAGTTTCCAAAATTATGAAATCATCACCTCAGATTTCAAACTACTCTTGAACAAGCATGTAAATCTACTCCTTGGGAAGAACAGTCTGATGAAGACTCTAATCTGACTTCCACAGATCAGTCTCGAATGCTGGCACTACCTACCAGCCATGTAACCTTGGGAAGTTGTGAACCTCTGTACCTCAGTCACTTCATCTGTAAAAGGGACACCATAACAAAGCCTACAGTTCAGGGGGCTGCACAGCAGCTGGAGCATAGCTGTCTGTATGTGATAGCTCATTATATCACCTGTGGGTGCCTTCTGTGGGCCAGGCAGCACCACATTTTTAATATTGCATTTTGCTTTTAGAGCAGAAGTTCTAAAACCTACCTACTCAGTAAAAACAACAAACTGTGATATAAAGAAATAATTTATAAAGATTAAGACCAAAAAAGTCAATGAATAGACTCAAAGTTACATATATTTCCCCAAATAATTTTACTTAGTGCTGGCTTGATGGATCACTTAAAATCATCCTCCACTATTTTTAGGAACAAATACCAGAGGAGTCCTCTTACATAGCCAAGCTGTATTTCTGGAACCTATGAGCTAAGGAACAATCCATATTACCTTTTCTCTTGCACTGTAAATCAGAATTTTCCTAGAAAAAATTATAGCACAGACCAGCCTACAAAGTTATTTTGGAACACAGGTAAGTTTTAGTCTTTTTCTAATCTAGCCTTTTAAAAATAAAGACTAGAGATTAAAACAGTATATAAAACATTAGAGTTGCTGGGCTCGGTAGCTCAGCCTGGAATCCTGCGCTTTGGTAGGCTGAGGTGAGTGAACTGCCTGAGCCTCTGGGTTCAAGACCCGCCTGGGCAACTTGGTGAGACCTTATCTCTACAATAAATAAAAAATTAGCCAGGCATGGTAGCACACGCCTGTACTTCCAGCTATTTGGAAGGCTGAGGTGGAAGGATTGCCGGAGCCCAGTAGGTCGAGGCTGTGGTGGCCGGAAGTGGCCACTGCACTCCAGTGTGGGCGATGGAGTGAGACTCCAACTCAAAAAAAACAACAACATTAGAGGATTCACTATTCTGATGACTCCTTATGCCAAATAAACTGTGACATATTCTCTATTTTTATAAATAAAACATATGCTTGTTTTGTCTCAACTTGTTTTATGATTTCAAATTAATATTTCTGGCTCAATATGCATAATTTGTTTTACTCCAGAAGTCTTTGTAAGAATCTTTAATTAGTTCATATTTCAGATATTTAATCTTATGTCTATTCTAGGCAAGTAGAGTACAACTGCCAAGAATCTATCAAATCATTAACATTTGCAGAAATGTCCAACAATGCCACTAACATTTGCTTAACTCAGCTAAAGTCAGGCTTCCACTGGTGTTTATTTTTAAATTTATCCTTTTACAATTTCAAACACAGTATAAATTATCTAAACATTTGCTAGCTGACAGTTATGTATTTACCTCTGGATAATTGCTTCATGAATTCTCCGATACATGTAGCATTCCACAAACAACCAAGGTGAGTGGAACCACCTTGGTTTTCCGTCACTTTCATTTAAAAGACTTTGTTGATATTCTAGGTACTGATTCCATATGTCAGTGTCAACAAACTTCTCAACCAAGGGGATAATTGGTTTATCTGTTTGCAGTTCATTCCGTAACTTAGAAAGAAGAGAAATAGCTTTCTTTTCAGCTTCCATGCCCTCCTGAGGAAATAGACAAAAAATTGTATTTAATTTCTCTAGGGTAACACATTTTTTTTTTTTTTTTTAGTTGGAGTCTCACTCTGTCACCCAGACTGGAGTGCAGTGGCCGCTCCCGGCCACAGCAGCCTCCACCTGCTGGGCTCCTGCTGGGCTCCGGCGATCCTTCCGCCTCAGCCTTCCAAGTAGCTGGAACTACAGGCACGCTCTCCATGCCCGGCTAATTTTTTATTTAGTGTAGAGATGAGGTCTCGCCAAGTTCAGGCAATCCACTCACCTTGGCCTCCCAAAGCGCGGGATTACAGGCTGAGCCACGGAGCCCGGCTGGGTAACACATTTTAACAGACCTAATTTACATTTTATGTCTTTGGTGTAAACATTCAATTCAGAATTGTTAAGTTGTAAATCAAAGAGCACACAAAGATCTCATATCAAGATAATAATACCTTATCTACCCGGCCTTATCTGGGGCGGGAGAGCACTCATGTGAATTATTTACTTACCATTAAAAAAATTTTTTAAGACTGGAATTGATGGCTCAGCCTGTAATCCCAGCACTTTGGGAGGCCAAGGCGAGTGGATTGCCTGAGCGCGTGGGTTCGAAATCAGCCTGAGCAACTTGTTGAGACCTTGTCTCTCCAATAAATCAAAAATTAGCCGGGCAGAGTAGCACGCGCCTACAGTTCCGACTACTTGGAAGGCTGAGGTGGAAGGATCGCAGGAGCCCAGTGGCTGTGAATGCGCCATGGCACCGCAGCCTGAGCAACAGAGTTAGACTCCAACTCAAACAAAATAAAAAAATTTTTTTTAACTTCATGAGGTACATGAAGTTAGTTATCTAGGCATTTTGCATGATGAGGTCTGGGGTTTCAGTGACCTCATCATTCAAATAATGAATATGATATTCAGTGTTCAACCCTTGCCCCTCTCCCTCCCTCCCCCTTAGAAGCCCACAGTGTCTGTTCTTATCTTTACGTGTACATATAGCCAGTGTTTAATGCCCACTAAGTGAGAACTTGCGGTATTTGGTTTTGTTTCTGTGTTAATTTGTTTAGAATGGCCTCCAGCCGTATCCATGTTGTTGCAAAGGACATCATTTCATTTTTTATAGCTGCATGGCCCTTTTGTTATCTTCAGATGCAATGACCATCACCTGCAGAGGGAAAGGAACCACTGCCATATTTTCCTTGTCTTTCGTGCTTCCATATGTATTCTTCCTTCACCACTGACATGACTAGAAAAGGAACTCAGGCCTTTTGGCAGCTCAAAGGTGTTTTTCATTCCTTGTTTTCCACGGAGTTCCAGATAGGTGAGACACCCTGATAAACAAGGTTCTACAGTATTATCTCACATAATAGGCCAATGGGAGAGGGGCAAATGTCATGGGATCAGAATAAAGTGAAAAGGACTGAGAACCTTTGGTTTTATACCAGCAAGATTCTGTCCCATTTTTTAAAAATAATGTAAACCTATTTAGACACATACAGAATAAAATGTAGGAAAAAAACATCAAGCCCAATTAAAAACCTAATTCTTACCTCTCCGTGTTTCTCAAAAAATTCACTTTTGTGTCGATGCAATGTATCAATAGCCTTAGTCAAGATCTGTGGTATTCTGTCTTTAATTGTAAGATATGCAAATGATCTAGAAAAAAAGGCACACAATATATTAGCTAGTGGCATCAACACTAGAAGATAGCCATATTTTAGTTTCTGGAACACCTCAACTAAATTCAAATTCCTTTTCATGCAACTAGTAAAAGGTAAACTTGTATTGTGTGACATACAAAAATCTGAAAACCTCTCTGTATGTCATGGAAGCCAAGTAGTCTCAGTGCCTCTAATCTCAGATTCTCCCTGAAGTCAGTTTAATCATTCTTATCTTTTCCATTCCATTCCTTTTCTTTTCCTGAATCAGAAACTAGCTTAACAATGTGATAGGACAGAAAAAGGATTAGCCTAGAAATCAGATAGGTTCTCGCCCAGTCTATTACCAACTGACTGACTTCACCTTAGAAAGATGAATGAGGCAGTGGATCTAAACCCACCTTAAAGACTGATGTGCTTGAAAAACAAGAATTAAAGGTATTATGAGCCTGTTTCTCTCTTAAATCTGTTCTAAGTCCATTTTAATTCTTTTCCAAATTTTCCCCACTGCCTTCTCTATCTGCACAATAGACTCCTTCCATCCTGTTCTGCCCCTAAACAAATTAAGGCACGCCGAATCACTCTTGCAGCTTTCCCCACCAAAAAATTAGAGATTATATAGATGTGTCAAAGAATGAAGCTGGAGATGAAGAAAAATGAATACGTGCATAAAATTAAACATATTCTTGATTTTATACAAAAACCAAGATTTAGATTGTTTTATATAATTAGTTTTTTTTAAAGGAAATACATGTGATTCAGGAAGAAAAAAACATGCTTTATTGGATGGTAAAATTATTTGCCGTTTTAAACATAGAACACAGAGCTTAGCTGACCCGTGATTGGATCTTCAGATCAAAAGAGAGAATTGCTAGCAGGGCTCGGTAGCCCAACCTGTAATCCCGCCCTTTGGGAGGCTGAGGTGAGTGGATTGCCTGAACCCGCGGGTTCGAGACCCGCCTGGGCAACTTGGTGAGCCCTCATCTCTACAATAAATCAAAAAATCAGCCAGGCATAGTAGCGCGCGCCAGTAGTTCCAGCTACTTGGAAGGCTGAGGCGGAAGGATTACCGGAGCCCAGCAGGTTGAGGCTGCAGTGGTCGGGAGCGGCCACTGCACTCCAGTCTGGGTGACAGAGACTCCAACTCAAAAAAAAAAATTTTTAAAAAGCCGGGCTCGGTGGCTCAGCCAGTAATCCCGCGCCTTTGGGAGGCTGAGGTGAGTGGATTGCCTGAGCCCGCGGGTTCGAGACCCGCCTGGGCAGGTGATACCTCATCTCTACAATAAAAAAAAAAAAAAAAATTAGCCACTCGGAAGGCTGAGGCGGAAGGATCGCCGGAGCCCAGCAGGTCGAGGCTGCGGTGGCCGGGAGCGGCCACTGCCCTCCAGTCTGGGCGACAGAGTGAGACTCCATCTCAAAAAAAAAAAAAAAAAAGAGATAGATAATTGCTAAATTATTAGGTTGTACCTTAAGTACGCCTTTAAAAAGTTTCCTCAACTATACACATTTTTTTTAATGGCAAACACTTTCTGACTCTGGTGCTTTAAATATATCCTAAAACTTGTGATTAAGTTTTAACATGCACAGTAACAACTCTGATCAGAATTTAATTTCTTAAAATCACTACTATGCAGGGAAGAAACATTAAGTCAATTGACACTTGAATTTTCCAAGGCAGCAGATACAGTAAGAGACAGTCCCTCTTTGAGATCTTGCTGTAATAGAAAAGCTGCTTTTTCTAACTACTGCATTTCCTCCGACTGAAGCTGCACCTCTGGGGTAAAGATCCTGGCGAGGGCTAGGGCGAGGCCGAGGCCACCAGGGCAACCCGGTTTAGGGAGCCACTCACCCCCTATAGTGACCCAGCGCCTGAGCGCCTGCTTAGCAAGTGTGGCCTCAGCCTACTTCCCTCCCAGGTCAGGGTCATTTTCTTCAAAGTATTCTCATCTACTGCAATATTGTGAGGGTCCCGTTTCAACTATAACCTTGGCCATTCCATTTATCCAAATAGGTGTTATTTTTACGGTCGCCTACCACTTTACCCAAGCATCGTATCGTGACGACTAAAAAGGAAAAAAAAAACAAAACTACACTCTTTTAAATTGAGAAGTTATGATTTGATCGGCAACAGAAGACACGAGAGTCCCAACTTTTACTTAACGCCCCCCCCCCCCAAGGCGCGTTAAGCGGATACAGGAAAGGGGACCGCAAACCGCAAGGAAGAGCCCGCAGAGCCGCTCCCGGCCCGGACGCCCTCCCCGGGGCCGCCCCGCTCTCGACCTCGAGCCAGTCCCCGAAACCCCGAAAAGGCGCCCCTCGGAAGCCGAGACCGGCGGCGGGACTCGAACACAGCCCGTGGGGCGGCGGGCGCCCTCCGCACGTTACGCGCGGATGCCCAGCTAGGCCCGGCTTTCCGCAAAAGCGGGGAGGAGAAGAGCGAGACAAACCCCACGTCCTGTCCTGACAGAGGCGCCGGAGGAGCCGCCATCGCGATCCGCGCTCCTGGCCCCGACGCTCGGCTTCCAACGGCCGCAGTAACCGAAGCGGCGGCGGAGCCAAGAAGGAGGAGCCAGGCTAGGAAAGAGGCGGCTTTAAAAGAGGGGGGGGGTTTGAATGAAGAAACTTTATTGGGTGCCTGTACAGGCAGCAGACAGTGGCTAGCTCGGGGACGCGGAGATCTTCCGGCGACAAAGGCGGGGACAGCGGAGGGTGACGAGAGGAGCGGAAGAAGGAAGCGAGCGGAAGGCGGAAGCAAGCCGGCGAGAACCGGGAGGACCCAGGGCCTAGGGAGCGGAAGAGGTCGAGGCGACGCGACTCACGTGGTCAGGCGGTCACGTGGCCCGAGCGAATCGCTCTCCGCCCGGCCCCGAGTTCCGTGCGCCTGCGCAGTATTGGGCGCTGGGAGCAAGTGCTCTTACAGCCGCGGGCTTGGCTGCGCGAGGGGGAGACTGCGGCTCTGACTGTCTTCTCCTCCGTCCTGCGGAGGAAGCTTGCGCCCTTGGCGCTTCCTTTTTCTCTTCCGGCGGAGAGGTTAGTACACTGCCTTTCCCTGAGAGCTTGTATGGTCCGGCACGGAGGTCTCCGCCTTGGCTCCTGGCCTCCCGAAACCTCTGGCGCCACACTCACAAGTTACCTCAGTACCGCTGTGGTCCCATGCCCCTTCCTTACAGTGATCTTTGGTCGATTGAGCTAGGACTAAAAAGCACTCAGTCAGAAAACTCTTAACCCTTTTTTGAGCCAGTGCATAGAGCTCATTGCAAAGATCAATAAAAGGTATGCTCCCAGAGGTTAGCCCACTCATCCATTGAATCGTAGCTTAGCTGTAACCGTTTTCTTAATCGGTATTATTGTTCTTTAAAAGCTGGGATGTTCCCAGGAACTGAGTATTGTATCTCATTTTTTAAAAATTCAATTGAATGTCTACTGTGTGCTACGTACTGTTGTCACAGGAGATACAGCATGAACAAAACACGAGAATCTGTATTTTCAAGGATTTTACATTCTAGAGGAGGGAAACAAAAATTTATCCTCTCCTCTTTTTTTTCCTTAGCATTGTCGTTCTCTAACATGTATTTTATTGATTTACTGTGTTTATTGTCGGTCACCCCAATGTAATGTAAGTTTTTTTTTTTAAATAAGGATTTTTATCTATTTTACTTTCAGATGTTTTATTAGCAACTAGGACAATACCTGACACATGGTAAGAACTCAGTTTATGTTTGTTGTGTGAAATAATGAACAAAAAATCCAAAATATGCAAGTGGTGTTGAATACAGTGGAGAAATGTAAAGTGGAGGAAGATAGAGAGTGAAGTGGTTGGGAAGCCTTCATGGGTAGGAGACGTTTGAGCAAAGATCTGAATGAAGTGAGGGAGTGAGTATTACAGATCCTGGTAGACGAGCGTGAGGAATAGTTAGTGCAAAATCCAGAGACCTGAGTGAGGAGCAAAATGAGCGATGGAGAGAGCTGTGGGGAATGTTAGAGTGGTGGTGAAGAAGGGCCAAAGAATGTATGTAGTGCCCTGCGGGCCATTTTAAGAGCTTTGGCTTTTATTGTAAGAGAAATGTAATGCCATGAAATTTTGCGCAGAGAAAAGATGTAATTGGACTTAAGTTTTCAGAGGATCGGTTTGTTTGCTGTGTGAGAAGAATCTGTGGGAGGCCAAGAGCCAAATCAAGAGACCAGATAGGAAGTGATTACAATAAGAATCCATGGAAAACAACAACTTGGACCAAGCTGTCACAGAATTGATGATGAGAACTGATCTGAATAATGCCAGTGGGATTTACTGCCCCTTGGGTATGGAGAATAAAGAGGAGAGTCCAAGTGGACATCAGATTTTTGGCTTTGTCAAACATAAAGATGTAATTGCTGCTCGTGAATGGGAAGGCTGTAGGAAGAATAGTTTTTGTGGGAAGATCTCAGAAGCTTGTTTTTAAGCATGTTGCATTTTTTGTGTTTATCAGAATGGTTTAGAGATAAATATTTGATACTCATCAATAGATAGATGGTATATGAAACCAAGAGTTTGATTGAGATCACCAAGGGCCTAATACAGGAGAAAAAAGGCCCAAAGACTGAACCCTGGTGTGTTCTGTTCTTGAGGGGATAAGTAGCCAGCAAGAGAGACAGGAGATAAAACCAATGACTGAGGAAAAGTCATTGTGATATTCTGGAAGCCAAGTGAAGAAGGTGCTTCGAAGAGAGTGGAGTGATCAGTTGTATTGAGTATTACTTGATAGGTCAGGCTAAATGAAGACTGATAAATGACTATTAGACTTAGAAATGTGGAGGTCATTGGTGACCCTGACAAGTGAATTTTGGTAACGTGGTAGAAGATAAAAGCCTAACTGGAGTGGGTTTAAAATAAATCAGAGGAGTTGGTGACAGTGATTACAACTCCTTGTAGAGGAACTTTACTGGAAGGGAGTTTTAAAAAAACTTTAAAAAGATGTAGGACATGGGAAGGAAAATGGAATTGGGAGAGTTTTTTTAAGATGGGAGAAATTATAGCATAGTCATATGCTAACTGGACTGTTCCAGTAAAAAGGGAAATAAGCAAGGAAGAGAGAATGAGAAAGGCTCAATTCCTTCTGTGGGCAGGGAAGGATGAGATTCAGTGTACAGAAGAAGGACTTAACTCTAGATAGGATTGCGGACAACTCATCTGTCATAGCAGAAGAGAAAGCAGAGTATATATGGGCACAGACGCAGTAGGCAGACAGGTAGGTGATAGCAGGGAGTTCATCTTGTGGACAGGCAGCAGTATAGTGTCTTCTGATTGTTTCTATTCTGCCAGTGAAAGAGGAAGCAAGGTCACTGTTGAGAAGGAGGAGAAGCTTGAAGATTTTTTGTTTTTGAGTTGGAGTCTCACTCTGTCGCCCAGACTGGAGTGCAGTGTCCGCTCCTGGTCACCGCAGCCTCGACCCGCTGGGCTCCAGCCATCCTGCTGCCTCAGCCTTCCGAGTAGCCGGATTTGAGGATAGAGTAGAGAATAGAATATAGTGGAGAAATGTGGGATTGTTGAGCAGCGTAAAAGGGGTCGTAATTTTAGAGTGAGATCAGACAGGTTGGTTGCTTGTCTCCAGCCAAGTTCAGCTGCAGGAGTGTAGGCACAAATTAGGCGAATTATGTTTAATTAAGGTTGAGGTGATGTCACGTGGGTATATGGACGAGAGAGGGATACAAGGGATTTGAGTTGTGTGGGAGAGAGATGATACTGGTAGACCATGGAATATAAGCTGTGTGTGAAGGAAGTGAAGTCATGGGGAAGAAGAGACCGTGAAAAGGTTGTTGGATGATTGAATTGTAGGTCTCATTGGGGTTGAAGAATTGTTGGAACTGGGTAATGAACGGAGTAAGCCGGAAAGATAGGAAAAGGTGTTTGGATGGTAGAATGCTTGAAATTGGGTATAGGAGGTTACATTTACTTATGATGACAGGGTCTAGCAAGTGCTATCCTGTAGAAATACAGTGCAAGCTACACATGTAGTCTTAGACTTTCTAGAAGCTGGACTGGTAAAAGTAAAAAGTAGATGAAATTATTTTTGATAATGTACTTTATTTAGCCCAACATAGCCAAAAGTATTATTTCAACAAGTAATCAGTATAAAAATTGAGATCCGTTACTTTTAAAAAAAAACTAAGTCTCAATTGATACTAGTCACAGTTCAAGTGCTCAGTAGGAACATGTGTCCTAGTGGCTACTATGTAGGTCAGAGCATAATGACCATGGGAGTGAACAGCTGAGGGAGAGTGAAAAGCAAGATCACTCAGGAAGAGAGGTCAGAGGACTCAGAGGCCAGGTATTGGAGAATTGTCCCCACCACTGATCGGCATGGATATAAAAACTATCATGAATCATGACAGTGATAATATACCTGTGCCCGTTACTTTCACATTCTTTGTAATAGTGCTTCATGCAGTCTTCATATTAAGGGAGTCATTAGAGTTTGGAGGTGAGGAATTTCCTTAAAGAGAATGAAAGAATCCAGAACCAATGCAATTTCTAAATTTTTTATAGTTAGATTCCTCAAAACTGTTGGTTCAACTGACAGGGAATAGTACTAATTATAGGTGCACTACAGTAGCCCATTGGACTTAGAACCAAGCACAGAATAGCAACTTTTGAAGATGTTTTGAAAGCAGCAGGTTCTGCCTCCTAAATATCTCGTGTGGTCCCCAACCTTTTTGGCATCAGGTTCCAGTTTCGTGGAAGACAATTTTTCTACAGGGATGAGGGAATGGTTTCAGGATGATTCAAGCACATTACATTTATTGGGTACTTTGTTTTTATTATTATTACATTGTAATATATGAGAATCTAATGCCATCGCTGATCTGACAAGAGGTGGAGCTCAGGTGGTAATGCGAGTGGTGGGGAGTGGCTGTAAATACAGGTGAAGCTTGGTTTGCTTGTCTGCAATTTCCTCCTGCTGTGCGACTGGTACAGTACAGTATCAGTTTGGTGGGGGGGAGTTGGGAGCCTCTGACTGTGATTCATCTATGTTATCCTGAAGGGAAGTGATACAATGTAGTTGTTAAGAGTGTTGCCTTCAGAATTGGAAAAACCTGGGTTTTAATTATATCTCTGCAGTTTGCTAACTGTAAGCCCATGGCCTCCCTATACCTTATTTTCCTCATCTATAAAATGTCTCATATGGTCACTGTGAGGTGAAGCAGAGTATTCAGTGTGTAGAGAGTTCTCAGGAGTGATGTCTCAGTCTCTCTCAGTTCCTCCTGCACATTATTACCAAAAATATGTTTCTTAAACATACACTTGGCCACGTGACTCTCACATTCTAAAGCTCCGACTTCCCCTACCTGAAGAAACTCTTTAGGATGACTTAATTCGTTCTTCATGATATGGACGCGGGCTCCTTTTCAGTCCGTATCTCCTGTAACTGATGCCTGCCTCCCCCGAAGTGGCACCCTGTTTGTGAACCTGGGGCATTTGGTTGGTGATCCCTCTAGCCTTTCAAAGTCCCAGTTCACACGTCACCTCTGTGCCTATGCTATACTCACTCCCTACCCACATGCTTCCTTCTCTGGACCCCATAACAATATGTGCATCACATTATTCTGCTTCCTCTGCTGTGCTGTGAATTCTGAGATTAGTGATTCATACTTGCATCTCTAGCACCTAACATGCTGTTTTCTAAAGAGTTATTATCAAGTACCTAATAATAATGTAAGGAACACACTTCATATGGTAAATAAGGAGGGTCTGCTCACATAAACAGTCCATTCTGCTCGTCTGGAGTGTGTATGTGGATCTGATCTCGTCTGGAGTGTGTGCCTCATGCCCACTCCCATGCCTCAACCCAAGCTGGAAAGCACCTTCTGTTTCTAGAAGTAGCTTTCTGGGAGCCATTCCTGACTCTTCTTGTATAACTAGGCGATCTCCTTATGTGTTTCTGCTGCATCTTGTACTATATAGCTCAGAAGTAGCATCTATTCCACTGAATTGTAATGGGCAGTTGAAAATGCCTGTCTCCTCCAGGAAACCTTACCACCGCCATGGCAGGGCCCTATCTTTTCATGGAGGCATCCCTGGCCACAGCTTATTGCCTATCTCATTATGAAGGCTGAATAAATTTTGAATAAGGGAACTTGTAAGCATAGATTTTTAAATAGTTGATAGACTAATAAAGTAAATAAAGAGATCCCATTGTATATTTTTTAAGGTTCTTGTCATGTCAGTAGCATTATAATCTTGTAATCTACCAGAAAGATCAGTCGTTGACTAAAGGAAAAGTGGCAGAAACACTATTTATTTTTAACCTTGTTCTTTTACTAGAATTAGGTTAGGGTGTATCTGTTTTGCAGTTTTTTGTTTAAGAAATATTGCCTATTACCTAGGGAAATGTTATATATTTTCTTAAACATTAAAAAAACCCAACCTTGAACTTTGAATTCTTTGTCTTTTAGCTTGGGATGTGGTAATGCCAGCCAGATTCCTCAGTGCCCTGGCCGGATTTCACTGTGTATTATCAAAAGCATATCAGTGCCAAAGACTTGTTCATCTAATGTTAAAGCCACTTAAGGAATTTGAAAATACAGTGTGCAGCACACAGATCATATGTCAAAACTTGAATTTATTCTTTCCTGAAACAATAGCTGGTGGTTTGAATAAGTCTCGTATCCCAGAAATGAACCGTAAACTATCAGATACAAGAGTACTCTCTCCAGTAAATGCTGAGCATTGCCAAGATGAAAAATCATACCTTCTAGCCCGGAACTCATTTGGTACTCAGAAGAAAGTGACCCACACACCAAATCTATTGGGTTCTAAATGGTTTATAAAAATATTGAAGAGGCATCTCTCATCCGTATCAACTGAAACATTTGTTCCCAAACAAGAATTTCCACAGATCAAGAGACCACTAAAAGCATCCAGGACCAGGCAACCATCCAGGACCAACCTTCCAGTTCTGTCTGTGAATGAGGTAAGGTGGGTGTGGCTGTGACACTTGAGCTTCATGATCCTGAACTAGTGTGCAATGCAATACAGGCTTACTGCCAACAAAAGGGAATTGACAGCCATCCCAGACTTTTTTCCATCAAAATCTTTAAAGCTTAATATATACAAAGGGAATCAGAATCTTAATATTTAAGAATTGGTGGTACTCATTTCTGTAATTCCAGCACTTTGGGAGGCTGAGGCAGGAGGATTGCTTGAACCCAGGAGTTCAAGACAAGCCTGGGCAACATAACAAGACCATGTCTCTACAAGAAGTTTTAAAAAATTAGCCAGGCATGGTGGTGCGCACATGTAGTCCCAGCTACTAGGGAGGCTGAAACAGAAGGATCACCTAAGCCAGAGAGGTCGAGGTTGTGGTGAGCTGTGATCATGCTGTTGGGTGACAGAGTGAGACCCTGACTCAAAAAAAAAAAAAAAAAAGAATATAAAGACAAAATATAGGCAATAAAATATAGAAATATAGTTTATGAAAGGATTAGTGATTGGTCTAAGGAAACTTTGAAAATGAGGGCTTGTTTTAAGTTCAATGTAAGAATGGAACTGTTAAGAAAAGACCCATTTTTAAAAAATCAAATTAGAAATTCTTCATCAAATTTTTAAAAAATATTATAACTCTGCAGGTAAGCATTCAGTATAGCCTGTGATAACTGCTTGGGGTGTGAAATGAAGAGGGTTTTTTGTTTGTTTGTTTGTTTTTTTATCCTCTTAAGGTACAAGGGGGTATTTTTTATTCACTGTTAAGAGGTTTCTGGGAATTTTTCAGCTACAGTTTGCACTTCTCTAATAAACAGTGTACGGGTCAAGATCAAACCCCTAGTTAACCTTTGTATCTTACATAACACCTAGAACAGTGCCTTGTCACAATAAATATTTATGAAATTGGAAAGTGTTGAAAGAAGAGGTGGATATTTAATCTCAATAGTTACCCACACAAAAACAGGAATGTAGATATTTTAAACTTGATTAGGCCTCCTGAATCTGTCAGAAAACAGATTCAAATGTCTGTCTTCAAATCTTGATTCTGGGAAGTGGACCCTGAGCATGTTTGGTTTGGCTATGTTCTTATCACTGTGCCAGCCGACTTCCCTCTCTTGTTGAAGCTAGGAGTGAACGCATGATCTGTATGTTGGATTCTGGTTTGGTTTCAGTTTCTGTATGGTTTCTCTGCACCCAGGATGTGAAGGATGAAAGTATTGGATGGGTCCTACTTCCCTATTTTGAGTGCCTAGAGCTCTGGGGTAGTCTGAGAGATTCAGTGTTTAAGTGACTAAGATGACATTAAGTGTGAAAACTTGAATTCATGGCACATTCAAGTCATTTTTTTCTTTTGTTATATCTAGCAGCACAGTGCAGCAAGTTTCTTAGGAGAAGCTGATGTGGTCAAAGAAGTCCCTTTTTTTGTATTACTGGTTGAGAACTGTCAAAGAAGCTGTATTTCTCTGAGCTGTCCTTCCTGAAGAGCAGTCTTTATTTTTCTTTAGAATTTTTTTCTGCTTCCTTCCAAGAAAGGACTTGAAGTATATTTTAAAAATTTGACAAAGTTAGAAATAACATCATAAATGCTTTCACATTTGAATCAGAGCAAACAGTTGACATGAATAATAAATAAATGTTACCAAGTGCCTGATATGGATAATCTAGTTGAATATTTGGTTCTGAAAAATCCAATAATTAAAGAAAAAAAGGAATCATCCTGAGATTTATTATGTGCTATTTATTGTTGTTTGGAGTTGGGGGCAGAGGAAAATGTTTTAAGAGAAATACCTTCATCAAAAGAACAGGGAGACAGCCCACAGACTGGGAAAAAATATTTGCCAACTGTATGTCTGACAAAGGCCTAATACCTAGGATCTACAAGGAACTTAAATGTGTAGAAAAGAAAAAAACAGTCTCATTACAAAATGGGCAAAAGATATAAATAGACACTTCTCAAAAGAAGACATACGAGCAGCCAACAAGTACATGAAAAAATGCTCAGCCTCACTAGTCACCAAGGAGAAATACCTTTTTCTAGCACCAAAGTTAAGGAGTCATTTCAGGGGTCCTTTTATAGGAGACACTGTGTAACATAATAGTGTCTTCTGTTAGAGTTTGGCAAAAACAGAAGCCATATGTTGTCTTTCTGAAAGCACAGGAAAATAATAGAAAATCGTGTTTCTAAAGTGATCTGAGGTAATACAATTTTGGAACGTTATTTTTCTGAGTATTTTACCTTTTATAGAGAAAGCAGTCTTGAGGCGAGATTAGGTAACATATCCCTGAACTGAAGACTTACTCCCATCTGCGCCAAGTTGAAGACCACCCCATTTCCATGTGGATGTTATAGGCCTGGTGAATCCTTTGTTACAGGCTAACCCTTTATACCACTCTTGATGGAACCAAGGACAGGACTCTGTCTCCGAAAGTGTGTGTACTTGTGTCTTATTCCCGCAGTTGCTCCTGAGCTCATCCTGTGACCTCTGTTGGATGGTACACATTTGGAATCGGCTGAATGAGGTTTTAATCATTCAGTCATTCTCTATTGGAATTAAATTTGTCTTTACCTGGTCCCATTTGAAGAGATCATAACCTACTAAGATATTCACCCACATCCCATTGGCTTATAGTACATAAAAACAATAGCAAGGCTGGGCATGGTGGCTCTCACCTATAATCCCAGCACTTTAGGAGGCCAAGGCAGGAGGATCACTTGAGGCCAGGAGTTCAAGGACAACCTGGCCAACATAGCAAGACCTCCAACTCTTAAAAACAACAACAAAACATTAGCCGAGCATGGTGGCATGTACCTTTAGTCCCAGCTACTCAGTAGGTTGAGGTGGAGGGGTGGCTTAAGCTCAAGGGTTGCAGGCTTCAGTGAACTGTGTTTGCCTGACCACACTCCAGCCTAGGTGACAGAGCAAGACTCTGTATTGGAAAAAAAAATAGCAGCACTTCTTGTTAATGTCCCATTTTCAGGAGAAGAATGGCAGAGGATGAGAACCAGTGATCTGAGTGGCAGGGAGCCTGGCACAGGAGGGAGAGTGTTTTCAGACTGACAGCACAGTGACAATTACTAAAATTACTAGTGGGTTGTTAATCATTTTTTGAAGAATGAAGTAGAATAGAAAATGCCAGAGTGCATTTCTCAGATAAAGATAAATATGATAAATACTGGTTTGAGAAACTTGATGGCAGTTGTTGGTGTGTGTGAATATATGTATATAGTACTATGTATGTAAAATGATTTCTCTTCATAGATTGTTGTCAAAAAGACAAAAATGTTCCATATTTTACACTTTTGTCTCCAATCATTACATCACAGGAAAAGATGCATTTTTTTCTTTAGTATGATCTGTTTCTACTTCTGATACCAAATATGTGGGGTTTTTTTCCCCTGCCCCGGCCAGTTCAACAACTCTGCAGACACTAGCAGGGTGTCCTGCAGTTCAGTTCAATCCTAACGCTGGCCAGAGTGAGCGCGGAGCCCACAGTTAGTTAAGGTCAACCCACAAGACTGCCCTCTGCTTCAGACACCAGTCACAAGTCCCAGGTAACACCTGTACCTCTGGCCAACTAGCTACAAATCAGGTTCCCATGAACCCCTTCTCAGGTTGATAATTTGCTAGAATGGTTCACAGAACTCTGAGAGACACTTTATTTACATTTACTGGTTTATTTTAAAAGATACAAGTGAACAGCCACACAAAGGTGCATAGGGTGAAGTCGGGAAGGGCCCAAACACAGGAGCAACTGTCCCTGTGGAGTTGGAGGGTACCACCCTCCCAGCAGGTAGACACATCGACCAACCCAGAAGCTCTGCACACCCCATTTTTCAGGTGTTTTCCTTGAGGTTTCATCCTGTATACCTGATCCATTATTAACTCAGTCTCCAGCCCCTCTTCTCTCACTTCCCCAGAGGTTAGGAGTGGGGCTGAAAGTTCCAAGCTTCTAATCAAAGTGTAGTCTTCTAGCAACTAGCCCCCATCCTGAAGCTATCCAGGATTCCACCAGGGTCACCTCATTAAAACAAAAGGTGTTTCTATTACTCATGAAATTCCAGTGTCACCGGAAGCAACGACTAAGTCCAACAAAAATGCTATCACCCCTGTTACTTAGATTACAAGGGTTCTAGGAGCTCTGTGCCAGGAACCAAGGCCAAATATAACTTACATATCACAATTTCCACAGTCATACAGAAGCAACACTGCCATAATAATTTTCTCTAGCAATAGAGCATGAATAAAAACAAATTTGTTAAAAGTGATCCATCTGAGCATGCAGCACTACTGAAATGAGAGTCTGGATTTCTAGCCCCATCTGCTGGACTGTGTCTTTTGAAGCCAGGAAAAAAAAAAAACAACAACAACACTGAGATCCAGTGGTTTGGGAGTTATTTTTGTTTTCTGGGGTTTTTTTTTAAACGTTTGAAAATAGAAAAGCCCTAGGTCTTAGAACGATTTTAGGTTGGTTTGGCACATCTATTTAAGGGCAAGCTTTTGGCTACCATCCTAAAGCCTTAAATTTATGTATACACATGTAATTAATGTTTAATAAATAAGGATTCACTGTAATAATCCAGAAAAAGACATGTATGGAAATGAAAGCTTCTCACAAATAACAGTGCCTTTAATTAACAAGAGGGGAAAAAAAGCAAAGGCAAGACTCTCCATAGTTCTCTTTCCCTTTTCCAAATGGGTTTAAGTAAAAACTTGAAATTTAAAAGCAAAGGAAACAGAACCAAAACAAGATGTCTAAAAAGTCAAATCTTAAAACTTGTGAATCATCTATTAATAGAAGAGACTCAGATCCAAGCAGCATAAGAGGATGCAGGAAGTGGCAAGCCCTGTGAGCAGAGGATACTGGAGGGCACTTGGAACCACATGGAATAGGAGATGCAGAGAGGAGGAAAGGGGACAGTCATCAGAAAACCCACGACACAGCTTTAGAAAGACCAAGTAAAAACATCTGCTTGGAGCTCAGAACGTATTTTTCTTATAAAAATAGTGATTGAGTGACCTATCTTGAGAGTTCAAAATAGTATACATTTTTAGCACAGATGGGCCTGGACAGACTTAAATGATGGTAAAGCTGACAGGAGACAGCAGGAACAGGTGGGAATGGTGTGGTCTGGAAAGCCTGGGCTCCCCCCACTCCACCCCAGGCCATTATTGGCTGATGTTCCACTTGGTCAAAAGATGGTGGTACCCTGAACTCAGTGGCTCACGCCTATAATCCCAGCACTTTAGGAGGCTGAGATGGGAGGATCGCTTGAGCCTAGGAGTTTCAGACCAGCCTGGGCAACATAGCAAGACCTCATCTCTATAAAAATTAAAAAATTAGCCAAGCATGGCAGTGTGGACCTGCAGCCCCAGCTGCTGGGGAGGCTGAGGCTGAATGATCGCCTGATCCCAGGAAGTCAAGGCTGCAGTGAGCCGTGATCATGCCACTGTACTCCACCCTGGGTGACAGAGTGAGACCCTGATTTTACAAAAAGATGATGGAAACATCTAGTCTTCCACTTGATCAAAAGATGGTAGAAATCTGGATTTTGTGTGAAATCTCTGTTTATTGTTTACAGATCACATTTTAGAAATGTAGTTTAGGTTAACTCGAGTTGGATGGTTCTGTGAGCTGCCAGTTTACAATTCCTATTCTAGAGAAGAAGACAGCCACTACCACTTTCAGTATACTTATGGGAAGGCCCTTCTCCGGTCTAGCTTGTGACCTTTTTATCTTTTTGTGCCACCTCCTCTTCCCATGCCTACCCATATCAGTTGTTGCAATCACAGAAGGAATTCTGGCGTCCAGCTTAATGGCCTGGTTTTACCTGGTGAACTTGTGTAAATTTGTCTGGCTTCACAGAGTAGGACCTTTCTGGCGCTCTCACCAGGATTCTTTCTTTCAGTAGGCTTAACTTCTGTACTCATGTCCACTTTTTTTTCTTTTTGAAGCAGGATCTCACTCTGTCACCCAGGCAGGAGTGCAGTGGTGCCGTTATAGCTCCTTGCAGCCTCGAACTCCTGGGCTCAAACAATCCCCTTACCTCAGCCTCCTGAGTAGCTAGAACTGCAGGTGTGAGCCACCACATGTAACTAATTTACAAAAAATTGTAGAGTTGAGGTCTTGCCTGTTCACCTAGCCTCAAGCGAGTCTCCTGTCTCAGTCTCCCAAATTGCTGGGATTGCAGGCATGAGCCACCGTTCTCAACCATGTCAACTCTTTAACTCCATGGAAACCTTAAAAAGAACAGCTGGCACGCATAGGTCTAAACCTTGCGCACATTCCTGATCTCTAAACTCTGGTAACTGTCTCTGCTTTGGCTCTTTTGATCCATATGCATTTGTATGTCAGTGAGTTCTTTCTTCCATATGTGCCTATGGGAATTAGCTTCTCAGTTATCTGCTAGTTTGGGAGGAATTCACAGTTGTCTGCTAATGCGGGTGCCACATCCATTCCCTAGTCATTTTAGCTTCTATGACTTTTCATTTTTTTCTAACTGAATTAAACTCATTTTGCTTATGAGTGGCCATTTTATTGACTTTAGATTGTTCAGTTTGTGTGGTTCCTCAAGTCTGTTCCTGTTTAAACCACACAGTGGAACTTTGTGACAGATTGGGGCAACAAGTTAGGGCAGGGTCAGGCCATTTCTTGAAACAAGCCAGGGGTTAGAGAGGCAGGAAGGAGCTGATAGGCCACTTCTCTAGCATTTCACACTAGGAATGCAACAGAACAGGAAGGAATTGGGAGCTGAGATGAGTGGGTCTTGAGAAGAAGTATTGATTTAGTGACCTCATAAGCTTCTTTTAGCTTCTAACAGATGCTGAACACCTGTATCAGAGTCCTGAGTTCACATTTGTCAGCTTGTTTACATTTTACAGCAACCTATAAAGTAGTCATTATTGCTATTCTGATATTCTTTTAAAACTTTAATTCAAATCTGTGCCTGAAGTCTTAACTCTTATGCCAGTAGCTTTCAAACTTTATTGACCACATCCTATAGTGAGAAATATATTATATACATTTGCATACACCTATACAGTGTATATACATGGACACATATAAGTGACAGAAAACTTCATAAAATGATGTATATTGTGAATAATGTACTTTAATATTTTTTATTTAATATTTTTTCAAAGCTCACTTGGGTCAACTAAATTGATATGAGAGCTCACTAGTGGGCTGTAACCTACAATTTGAAAAAAACATTGCGATGTATTGCTTACCATGTGTTTATTGTATAGACACACCATGAATGTCTGCATGTCCGCACAGACAAAATGCATGGTGCATGAACCAAGCCAGCACACATTGTCAGGTTTACAGACCTTGTTGTTTAATTTAACCAGAGTAAAACACTGTAATTCTTTGGAGGACTTAAAGGAATCTCTGCCTGTACAAGGCTACTGATAAATTAACAAATGACCCCAAATACTAATGTAACGTTGAAAAAGAGTCATGGAAACTCAGGGTTGAAGAGACTTTAAATATCCTTTCATCCAGTCACTCATATGATACCTTAATCTTCTACGCCTTTTGTTCATCTATGCTTGAAACACTACTAGGTGGATAGTGGCTTGCCTTTCAAGATAATCCATTCCATCTTTTTGGCTAGTGGGAGCAAGTTATTTTGTAGATTGCACTGAAGTTTGTCTTCCTGTAACTTTGTTCTCGTCATCCTCATCGCATCCTTCTTTGCAGAGTGGACTCCAATAAGGTGATTCGGCAGCCATCACAGGTGCTTTAGCCTCTTGGTAACCCATGTTGTGCTCGTCTCCCTGAAACAGGACCTGATGCACTGCATAGCGTTTGCAACAGCAGATGAATATCATCTGGGAAGTCTGTCTCAAGATCTGACCTCCCACGGATACGTTGAAGTAACAAGTTTGCCTAGAGGTACTTCTTGAACCAGGGCCAAGTATGTTAAGATGTATTGGATGTTTTTCCTATGATACTGTCTTAAGTATGCATTTGTTTGCATTTCATTTTCTTTTTAAAGGATTGTATTATAAGAGTGGCGTTGAATCTCTTTATACAAATGACATATAAAGATAGGAAATTAAATTTAGTTCTCAGATGGAGATCGGTATGATTTAGTTAAAAAATTTTATTTGACTGGGCTCGGTGGCTCAGCCTGTAATCCCAGCACTTTGGGAGGCCAAGGTGAGTGGATTTCCTGAGCCTGCGGGTTTGAGACCCACCTGGGCAACTTGGCAAGACATCGTCTCTACAATAAGTCAAAATTTAGCCAGGCATGGTAGCGTGCACCTTTAGTTCCGGCTACTGGGAAGGATCACTGGAGCCCAGCAGGCTGATGCTGGGGTGGCCATGAGCTTGACACTGCACTCCAGCCTGGGCAACGGAGTAAGACTCGAACTCAAAACAAAAAAAAAGTTTTATTTATAAGATTGTTATTACTTTAGGTGGTCAGAAGCCATGCCACTTCATTTCTTTCACATTAAAAAGCTGTTTTAGGCCTTTACAATTTTTTTATTTTAAAGATGTGGGGTACAATTCAGGGTTGATAGCTTGAGGCCAGGAATTTCAGACCAGCCTGGGCAACATAGACCTTGTCTCTACAAAAAATCAAAAAATTAGCTGGGCATGGTGGCACCTGCCTTGTAGTCCCAGCTGAGGTAGAAGGTTTGCCTGAGCCAAGGAGGTCAAGGCTGTGGTGAGCCATGATCATGCCACTGCACTCCAGCCTGGGTTAGAGGGAGACTGTAACTCAAAAAATAAAAGTTGTTTTAGTATTGAAGAAGAACCATGAAATTGATAAAAGTGAGGAGAGCCTTAAAAAAGTTTACTAGTTGACTCTAATACTTTAAAACTAATAAAATTAGTTAAAGTAAAAAGTAAACACAATGAATATAAAAAAGAGAATTAAGATGAACTTCACTGAGGATTTTAGGATAGTATCAAAGGATTCTTGAGAAAATAGCCTGCTTTACATTAAAAAAATAAATAACTTAGAACATGTTGATAAAAAAACTCGATAGCCCAATACCTAAAAAATTATTAATTTATCTTAGAGTAGCAAAAATAGATTGAAAGCCTCCCTCCTACAGAAAAAGTTCTTAAAAGAGTCATTAATCCCATAAGAAACAGTTGAAATGTCATTCAGCCTTAATGATCTGAATAGCCTGTGCAGTTTGATAACAAAACAAGCATAGTTGACTTAGACAAGCCAGAGATATGTCCAGAGCCCCTAAGATGAACAGTTGCCCAGGGATGTCATTGGCTGACACTGAAGGCTGCCAGCAATGTGGTCTGGGCATCACAGAGTTGGCACCTTCACTGCCCAGTGTCTTTCCTGTCTAACTTAGGTTTGCTTTTGGTTCTATAGGCCAGCTTTGTCCTAGGCAGAGTGTAGTACTTAGGGAAGCTGGAGTTCACCAGCAAAAAGGTAGCTTAGGAGTTGATCTCTGTCTGATTCACTCATCTCACAGCCTCAACCGGAATTCTGAAGCTTTGAGGGTCCTAATTTTACATTAAGAAATGATATATAACTTTTAATAATTAATAGTGGTATACTCGTTAACTGATATATTAACATATGTTCATAATTGATATTATAGAATATACTTATAAATATTAATATACTATGATACTATGTAAAGCAACTACTTATTGATGAATGTTGTTATATATGTTTAATAATATTAAAAAGGTTAACATTTTAAAATAGTTACAGGCAGCTACAGTGGTAGCTTATGATTAACCTTGAAATCATATATGTTTTGAAATAGTATCTTTACTTCTGTATATTTTCTATTGCTTTATACTTTATACTTTAAAAATCAGCAGAATGGGTAATTTGGGAATATTAAAACTGCATTACTAGTAAAATGGTATTTAAAGGAAGCAGATACATGATGCTTCTTCAGCTTTTATTTTAAATTAATTTTGTAGAAAGAAGTTTAATTCTTGAAGCTTGGTTGTATTGAATTGAACGCTTTACTAATTATTAACTGGGTTAGTCATTGTTCAGTCAAAATGGGTATGAATTAGCAGGGGGTTTTTTTTGTTGTTTTTTTTTGAGTTGGAGTCTCACTCTGTCGCCCAGACTGGAGTGCAGTGACTGCTCCCGGCCACTGCAGCCTCAACCCTCTGGGCTCAGGTGATCCTTCCACCTCAGCCTTCCAAGTAGCCGGAACTACAGGCGCACGCTACCACGCCCGGCTAATTTTTGACTTTATTGTAGAGATGACGTCTCGCCAAGTTGCCCAGGCAGGTCTCGAACCCGCGGGCTTAGGCTATCCACTCACCTCAGCCTCCCCAAGCGAGGGATTTACAGGCTGAGCCACCGAGCCCGGCTAGCAGTTTTAAATGGCACTAATAAGCCGGGTGCAGTGGCTCATGCCTGTAATCCCAGCACTTTGGGAGACAGAGAAGAGAGGATTGACTGAGCCCAGGGGTTCGAGACCAGCCAGGACAACTTGGTGAGACCTCATCTCTACAATAAACCAAAAAATTAGCTGGGCATGATAGCTCATGCCTGTAGTTCCAGCTTACTTGGAAGGCTGAGGTGGAAGGGTTGCCTGAGCCCAGCAGGTCCAGGCTGCAGTAGCCGTGAGCATGCCACTGCACTCCAACCTGGGCAACAGAGTGTGACTCCAACTCAAAAATAAATAAATAAATAATACTAATAATAGTATCATAGGTTGTTGGATGTTTTATGAAAATAATTATTTATGGTCTCTTTCTTATGGTCATATTTTCATTTTTGTATATTAAATCCTTTCAGAAACCATAGTAGAAAAATGGAAATTGTGTTAAAGAGCATTTCATCATATCTAAGAAATGATCATAAGTGCTTTATTAAAATGTTTATAGGTGACTCTTGCACCATTGTGTTGCCTTGTGACATAACTTTTTATTCATTTATTTTAAATCATAGATGCAGCCAATATTTTGGTGATGGGTATGGAAAGTTCTGCAAAAGAAGGTGATCCTGGAACAATATTCTTCTTCAGGTAAGAAAGGAAAGAAATCCCAATGGGAAATGGGTTCATAGCCAAGTAACTCTCGTCTTTAAAGGTTCAGATGTACCTCTCTTAACCATAAATGTGTCCAAAATGTGTTTGTGATTTACATTTATTATTTGGTTCTTATTTAATCTGGGAGAAGCCTGGATAACAGAGCAAGACCTCATATCTACAAAAAAAAATAAGAAGGTGTGTTGTGATGCATGCCTGTAGTCCCAGCTAAGGTGGGAAGCTAAGATAGGAAGATCACTTGAACTCAGGAGGTCAGGGCTATGCAGAGCCATGATCATGTCACTGCCCTCCAATCTGGGTAACAAAGTAAGACCCTGACTCAAAATCAAAATCATCATCATCATCATCTGGGAGATTTTTGTCAGTTTTAGGTATCCTCTAGTTAAATTCTCTTATGAAATAAAGAATTTTTCAGACAAGTAAATAATCTTTCTCTGGCTTGTTTTTTTATACATGTGGATCTTATCTCCAGAGACTTTAGGCTGGGACCCTGACTTATAGTTGCTATTCCTTTTCTTGAAAGCTTGACCTAATACCAAATACTCTAGGATAACTAACTGGAAATGATGGTAAATGTAAGATAATCTCCCATCATCCTCACCACAGCTGAGGAAACTGAGAGTGACTGTTATTCCCTTTGCAGCTGAGGAAACTGAGGGTGAGAGGGGTTCAGTGAATTACCCATAGTCATGGGATTAATAGGTGGCAGGACTGAAACATATGAAACATCTGTAAGAATCACAACTTTTTTTTTTGTCACCCAGGCTGGAGTGCAGTGGCATGATCATGGCTCACCAGAGCCTAGACTTCTGAACTCAGGCAATCCTTCTGTCTTCAGCCTCCCAAGTAGCTGAGACTACAGGCATGCACCACCACACCTGGCTATTTTTTAAAATTTTTGTGGAGATGACGTCTCACTATGTTGCCTAGGCTGGGCTCGAACTTCTGGATTCAAACAATACTCCTGCCTTGGCCTCCCAAAGTGCTGGGATTACAGGTGTGAGCCACCATACCTAGCCTTCCACAGCTGTTAAAAGTATGATCTTTTATTCCTCATCTATAACAGGGTCTGCCTAATGAGAGCTAAGACAGAATCTCAGAAAATGTCCTCACTCTATTTTCTATGGATCAGAATTGAACTGAGTATGGAAGAATCTAGATATGTGAAGTCATATAGTATTATAATAATAGCTATTTATTCTACAAACCATGTGAGAAATCATGAATTTTTGAGAGATCATATTTTATCAAGAATCAAGAAAGTCATTCTTATTTTCACAAGTTCATATCTAATTAGTAAATGAAGCATATTTTAAAAAATTGCATCCTGGACACATTCTAGATGTTACCTAAGCGTGGCTTTATATATGACCATAAAAAATGTTTTCTCCCTCTGACTTAGCTGGTTCTTTTTTACTTTTTTTTTTTAATCAGGGAAGGAGCTGCTGTGTTTTGGAATGTGAAAGACAAAACTGTAAGTGCAAATAAAATGGAAAAGCACAAAAATCTAGTTGTCTAAGAATGAATTGTTAATTAGCACTCAATCTGAACTATTAGAAAATAAATGAATAATACACAACTTATTTGTACTATATTACATGATATCTGTTTTATCAGTTTCATCTTCCAAAATTTGACTTATTTTGAAGTTTCCTGTATTTTCTTTTTTCGGACTACATACTGATTTGTGGAGAATCAGAAACATGTTAACTACACTGAAACAGACAGAAGTCCTATATACTTTGCATGTGATAGTGTGCAGAATGAATAATGTATACATAGTTAGCTGGAAGCTGGTTGCAATGACTCTTATTTTAGGTCAAGTTTTCTAGAACTTATCACTCATGGGAAATAATTTCTTCAATATCCAAAACAGGATTTGTTTAATACAACCTTTTTAGAAGCAGGTTAGTCATATACATCAAAGCTTTATATTTAACTCAGCAGCTTTACGCCTAGAAATTGATGCAGAAAAATTAATCATGATTATGCATGATGAATTATGTGCAGAAATGTTCATCAAAGCATTATTTATAATAGCAAAAATTAGAAGCAACCAAAATACACAATAATAGAAGGTTTGTTAAATATATCCATAGGATAAAATATACTACAGCCTACAGCCCCCCTTAAAAATCACGTAAGGCTGGCCTCGGTGGCTCAGCTTGTAATCCCAGCACTTTGGGAGGCTGAGGCGAGTGGATTTTCTGAGGCTACAGGTTCGAGACCAGCCCAGGCAATTGGCAAGACCTTGTTTCTACAATAAATAAAAAATTAGCCGGGCGTGGTAGTGCACACCTGTAGTTACAGCTACTTGGAAGGCTGAAGCAGAAGGATTGCCGGAGCCCAGCAGATCAATGATGAGGTAGCCATGAGTGTGCCACTGCACTCCAACCTGGGCGATGGAGTGAGACTCCTACTCAAAAAAAAAAAAAAGAGCCGGGCTCGGTGGCTCAGCCTGTAATCCCCTGCCTTTGGGAGGCTGAGGTGAGTGGATTGCCTGAGCCTGCGGGTTCGAAACCCGCCTGGGCAGCAAGACCTCATCTCTACAGTAAATCAAAAAATCAGCCGGGTGTGGTAGCGCATGCCTGTAATTCCGGCTACTTGGAAGGCTGAGGCGGAAGGATCGCCGGAGCCCAGCAGGTAGAGGCTGCGGTGGCCGAGAGCGGCCACTGCACTCCAGTCTGGGTGACAGAGTGAGACTCCAACTCAAAAAAAAAAAAAGAAAATTATGTAGAAAAATACCTCTTCCTGAAAAATTGCTTGTGTATATGATACAATTAAATTAAAAGAGCCAGTCACAAAATATAAGCAGTATAACATCAGCTGGTTCAAAAATATGCTTCATACAATGCCAGATTTACTAAAAGGAAATACACATGCAGACACACTCTGTAGAATCAGGGGATGGGGCAGTGATCCTAGAGAAAAGGAAATATAAGTGACCAATAAATACAAGAAAATGTAAGTTGGCATTTTGAAGTTGCAAACATGTTACACACACTAATAGCCTGTGCTTTTTTTTTTTTTAAACAAATAATACTCTCATAAATATTCAGATTCTTAGATTGGAAAAACTATTTTTGAGAGCAGGTTAGCACAAAATTGTAAGTGTGCATGTCTTTTGATCTAACAGTTCCTAAAGAAATATTCCCACAAGGCCATGCAGATATATGCATAAATATGGCGCATTGCAGCACTGTAGTGGAGAGCAGTGTAGGATGGTTAAGTAAATTGCTGTTCCTCTGTTAAGGAGAATAGTGTTGAAAATGTTGGCCGGGCTCTGGCTTAGCCTGTAATCCCAGCACTTTGGGAGGCTGTGGTGAGTGGATTGCCTGAGCCCACAGGTTCAAGACCCACCCAGGCAACCTGGCGAGACCTTGTCTCTACAATAAGTAAATTTTAAAAAATTAGCTGGGCATGGTAGTTCGCGCCTGTAATTCTGGCAACTTGGAAGGCTGAGGCGGAAGGATCGAAGAGCCCAGCAGGTTGAGTCTGGGGTGGCCGTGAGAGTGCCACTGCATTCCAGCCTGGGTGATGGAGTGAGACTCTAACTCAAAAAAAAAAGAAAGAAAATGTTCATAGGCCAGGTGTGGTGGCTCAAGCATGTAATCCCAGCACTTCAGGAGAGAGGCGAGAGGATTGCCTAAACTCAGAAGTTCGAGACCAGTCTGGGCAACTTGGTGAAACCTCGTCTCTACAATAAATCAAAAAATTAGCCAGGCGTGGTGTCATGCACCTGTAGTTCCAGCTACTTGAAAGGCTGAGGCGGAAGGATCGCCTGAGTCCAGCAGGTTGAGGCTGCGGTGGCCATGAGCGTGCCACTGCACTCCAGCCTGGTTGACAGAGTGGGACTCCAACTCAAAAAAAAAAAAAATTCATATGCATAGTATGATCCCATTCCACATAAAAAGCAGAAAAAATACTGGTATGTACTTACATACTCCTAGAAAGTCTGGAAGGATATGCACCAAGTTTAATCATGGTTACTTCTGAGGAGACAGGAGAATAGAGAGAAAGGCAGCCACTTCCTATACCTCTGTGTTGCTTAAATTTTTACAAGTATGTTGGGCCTTTTTTTTTTTTTAAGAGATTTAAAGAATGCAAACCATAATGTTGGGTTGTGGGATAATGATAATTTCTGTTTTCTTCTTACTCATCTGTTTTCCAAATGAAAAAACAAATGAACATGTCATCCTGATTAGTTTACTTTCACAGTGAATTTGCCTTTTCCTTAAAAGCATGCAACAGAAAACATGCCTTTAAATGTAAGGAAGAATGGTATGAGCATTAACCACCCCCCATAACATACTTGTACAGAGTATGTCAGTTATCATTTCAGGTTCATCTTCCTTTTCTTGTAGATGAAGCATGTGATGCAAGTTCTAGAAAAACATGAAATCCAGCCATATGAAATTGCATTGGTACACTGGGAAAACGAAGAGCTCAACTACATAAAAACCGAGTAAGCAACTTTGTATCAAACTTATGAAAATGGCACTTGCAGTAAACTAGATAAAGCAATAGAGGAGAGAAATTATTATGAGTATGGAGACCTCATTTTATGAAAAAAGTTATTGGTACAAGCACAAAGCTAAATCATGTAATAAATATTAAACAATAAACAATTTTAAAAACTTTTCAGGCTATCCACAAGTTAAAACAAAATAGTGTAGCCCCAAAATGGAAAGTTGATGTTTTCTAAGCAGCCTAAATCATTAATCTCATATTCATTTGTCTAATAACTATGTCATATTATTCCAATAAAGTTTTAAGTGAATCCAACTGTTTCCTATCGATTTTGAGTATAAAAAGGAAGTAGAATGAGGGGCGGTCTAGAAGAAACCCTTGTCGAGATGTGAGCGCTGCAGGAAGCTGGCCCTGAGGGGCCATGCTACAGTAAGGTACACACAGAGGCAGTGAGTGGACTAGCTGGTTTTCATGTTTCAGCAAAAGTGGAAAAATGAAGAGAGATGTTAGGGCTGAGAGAGATGACAGTACGAATACCATGGCAAGGTCTTTTTCCTCATACAGTCACCTGCCTAATGGAATATTAAAAAAAAAATAAAAGTCTCTGTGGGTTCTTAAGAAAAAAGTGTGGAAAGCAGAGCTTTGGGAAAACTTGGAAGAGACACCAGCTCTAGAAAGATCAAATGAGATAAGAGCTAAGTAGTAGTCAACAGTGACTAAGTATTTGCCATGGGACAGTCACTCTTCTAAGTGCTTTCCATGCATCCTTTTTTTTAATTCTCAGAATCCCTACAGTTGCAGTTGCCTGGCTTTCTCATGAGGTTAGGAGAGTTCTGTCTTGCCGAAGGGCACCTGACTGTGACTGAGTACCTAGACCTTGGTGGCAGCAGTGGAGGTGAACCTAAGAGACACAACAGACAAGGAGCACCTAGGAGTTTATCAGCTTTGTATTAAGCCCTTGGCCTTGTGATTGTGGTTTCCATGAATCCCCCATCTATGTTTTACTTCCAGATCAGACTGTTGCTTACAAGGCCCTCATGTATGTGCACACATGCGTGTCCCCAACACACACACACACATACACACACACATCAAAAAGACTACCCTAGCTGCCACCAGCGTGGTGTTATTTGAGTCCCACCGATGATTCCAGGGCCCTGTGACCCCACCCAGTTCTATGGCATAGACCAAGCACATTCACAAAGTATCTTGGAAACGCTGCTCTCTTTCTTGTCTTTGCTTGTGATGTTGAGATGTTTGTATTCACAAACTTCCTCCCTTCCACCCCTCCCCTGTCCTTTCCAAAGTTCTCCATAGTTTTAGCCTGGCAGCAGTGGCTCACACCTATAATCCCAAGCTTTGAGAGGACTGCTTGAGACCAGGAGTTCAAAACCAGCTGAGCAACATATTCAGCGTTTTTTCACTTAGAAGTTTATAGTGAACATTCTCCCTGTTATTGACTATCCTTCCAAATCACACTTCTTAATTTTTGTTGTGTGGAATGGCTATCATTGAGCTATCCCCCTACTGAATATTTCATTTCTTTCCTAATTTTTTTTTTTTTAAGCCAGGGTCTCACTCTGTCACCCAGGCTATAGTACAGTGACACAGTCACAGCTCACCACAGCCTCCACCTCCTGGGCTCAGGCAGTACTACCACCCCAGCCTCCCAAGTAGCTGGAACTACAGGTGCATGCCACCACACCCAGCTCTCTCTTTTTTTTTTTTTTTTTTTTTTTTTTTTGACTTGGAGTCTCACTTTGCTGCCCAGGCTAGAGTGCAGTGGCACACTCACGGCCACCCCAGCACTGGCCTGCTGGACTCCGGCAATCCTTCCGCCTCAGCCTTCCAAGTAGCCAGAACTACAGGTGCATGCTACCACGCCTGGCTAATTTTTTTATTTATTGTAGAGACAAGGTCTTGCCAAGTTGCCCAGGCTGATCTGGAACCCGCAGGCTCAGGCAATCCACTCGCCTTTGCCTCCCACAGTGCTGGGATTACAGGCCGAGCCACCGAGCCTGGCCTCATTTAATTTTTATAGAGACGAGGTCTTGCTGTATTGCCTAGGCAGGTCTTGAACTCCTGGGTTCAAGCAGTCCTCTTGCTTCAGCATCCCAAAGTGCCAGGATTACAGGCATGAGCCACTATGCTTGGCCTCTATCCTAGTCTTTTATTATTAAAAGTTGACCATGAAAATTTTTTCATGCTCATATCTTTGCTTGCATCTTAAATTATTTCCATAGGATAAACTCCTAGAAATGGAATTGCTTGAATCAAAGGATATGAGAATATTTGCAAGACTCTTGACACAAATTGTCAAAATGGCCTCTAGAAAGATGATAGGGTAACTTTTTCAAAAGAAAAACTTATGCTTTTAAGGTTTAGAGGAAGTTCATTTGTTTTCACAGGGGACAGTCAAAACTTCACAGAGGGGAAATCAAGTTAAATTCAGAGCTGGATTTGGATGATGCCATTCTAGAGAAGTTTGCTTTCTCCAATGCTCTCTGCCTTTCAGGTAAGTTACTGCTACTTATGGGAGATGGTACTATAGTTTTCATGTCCTTGAGGGAAGTTTCAGCACTCAGTAAAGATTTTGAAATGTTTTCAGAGTACTCAACAAAGGCTTAGCATCTCTTTTCCTTTGTTTTTCCCTCCAATGGAAAAAAATAATAGTGTCAAGATAATACTGTGCTAAAGTTACTCCTTCCTTATCAATTGTATTGATAAACCTTAATTTCTCCAAAAATATTTTCTCTATTATTATCATAGCCTTTGGTTACCTCTCGTCTTCTCTGTGTGATTGTCTTAGGTCATCTCTAGTGCAGGCAGAGAAAGCCCGACCCTGTGTGATGGGGCACATGCCTCTATGCAGAAAAACATACAGGTGTTTCATAGGAATGGGACACACTCACAGTGGGCCTAAGTTCTTCTGAAAGATCCATGCCCCTGAATCCGGTTGTCAGAGTGCTCTTGCCACCAGTCTGCATTAGGTTGCTGCTGCTGTATGCCATCCATACACTTGAAGAGGCTTGGGAGGTTCCTGAGCTTTACTCAGAGTCCTGAGGAGTGGAAGGGAAAGCCAGGAAGTCTCACTGTTGCCCATCTGCAGAACCACTCAAGGTGTCACGGTGGACCCTGCACTCTGGCTTCCGAGATGTGCCATTAGAAAAGCAGGAATTCTCCTAAATGGGGTTCTGGTCTGCCAGCAGGACTTGGAAGTCCAGTTTCCCCTATCATTTTTCATTTCAGTTCTGTCCCTTATTATGAGTAACTATTCTTTAATTACAGTTTCAAGTTTTTCAGCACATTTTATTCATAAACTCTGTGACAGGTTCTGCGCAGTTACACATTTTGCATAAACGTGAATATAATTTTTAAAAGTTCTATTATTAATGTTTTTTCCCCAGTGAAACTGGCTATTTGGGAGGCATCACTGGATAAATTTATTGAATCTATTCAGTCAATTCCAGAGGTAATTATATCAATTTTATGCTTGTTTTCAAGGATTGATTTTCATATGGAAGAAATACAAATTTCCCAATATAATAGTATGCACTCGTCCCTCAGTGTCTGTGGAGGTTTGATTCCAGGGCCCCAGAGGATACCAAAATCTATTAGTGTGCAAGTCCCTGATATACAATGTGTGATGTTTGGATATAACCTATGCACATCCTCCTGTACTTTAAATCATCTCTAGAATTACTTACAGGACCTAATACAATGTACATTCTCAGTAGATAATCACTACACTGTATTGCTTAGGAAATAATGATAAGGAGTAAAGATTGTATGTGTTCAGTATGGATGCAACTATCCATTTTTTCCCCAAATATTTTCAATCTACTTTTGGTTGAACCACAGGACAGAACCCACAAATACAGGGGGCTAGCTATATTTAGGAGTACCACGAAGTAATAACAAATACTAAAAAAGCTACTCTGAATATAAACAAAATGGAATTCCCAATTACATGTGAAGTAATGGAATAAAACTTTTTTTTTCAGTTTTTAAACTTCAAATTACTTTCCTCTGATGATGCAATATTTTTTAATGTAACTGAATTTAAAAAGTGAAATATGTTCTCTCTAAGGAAGGAAATTATGTCTACTTTTCTTGACTATAGAAGGTGTTTTACTAAATTATGAGAAAAATAGTGATATGGAAACTACATATAAAGTTACATTAAAATTTCAAAATACAGTAAAAGACATTTTTATTATAATTAACTTTGCCTTTATTGTGAAAGAATAATCTTGTTATACTTGGGAAAAGAGACCCTACTATTTCACTAAGAGATTAGAAATGTATATCTTAGGAAATGCTGATGAAAAGGGAAATGAATAAAGGGAATATAAAATTTCTGCCTGAGCCGGGCTTGGTGGCTCAGACTGTAATCCCGCGTTTTGGGAGGCTGAGGTGAGTGGATTGCCTGAGCCCGCGGGTTCGAGACCCGCCTGGGCAACTTGGCGAGACCTCATCTCTACAATAAATCAAAAAATTAGCCAGGCATGGTAGCGTGCACCTGTAGTTCCAGCTACTTGGAAGGCTGAGGCAGAATGATCACAGGAGCCCAGCAGGTCGAGGCTACGGTGGCTGGGAGTGTGCCACTGCACTCCAGTCTGGTCGACAGAGTGAGATTCCAACTCAAAAAAAAAATTTCTGCCAGATAAGATTATAAAGTTAGAGGGTAAGTTAAGGCATTAATCTGAGAGACAGTTGTTCTAAGAGTATTTACATAGGATCAAAATTATGCCACTACAGAATTTGCCTTATGGATCTAATATTTATTAGGGAGAGATATATATGTTTTTTTAATTCCTTCCCAAATAGGCTCTAAAAGCTGGAAAGAAAGTGAAACTGTCTCATGAAGAAGTGATGCAGAAAATGGGTGAACTCTTTGCCCTAAGGTAAAAATTTTCTTTATAAGTAAAATACTTCATATATTTAGCAATCTGAAGGAAACACTCCTATAGTAGAGAGCAAACATTTATACCTTTATGGGAATGGCAACTGTTTTCATTTCATTGACTATAAGCAGGGAGAACTCTTACCCATTAGAAGTAAGTGGGCTGTATTAAGACTCTGCTGAAATTCTGCATGTGCAAAAAAGATCATAATTAATCTACATGAATCCCACACAGGAGAGCATAGTAGATGTTCTCTGAAAGCAGAAAGACATATTCTTGAATTTGATTAATGAGAATTCTTGGTAAAAATGTATCACTGCATCATAATGCTAAATAGACTAATTGCTCTAGAAAAGTTAAGTTCATATTTCATTGAGTCTGAGACACCAAGATGCCACAGGAGAGAGAAGATGCTGCCAGTTAAACTCTGACAGTGCTTTTATCACAGAACTTTAATTTTACACATACTGCAACAGCTTTTGTAGTCTTATTCAGATGTAGGTTCTGTCATGCTTCCTCTTGGGCATACATGGAAAGGAAAGTGTAAGGGAAATTGTTTAAGGCAATGACAATTAAGTCTCAAATGCCACCTCTTATTTTGAAGATAGCTTAACCATTAATTTTAGATACCTTCAATTTTCAGAGATGTTAATATGGGAAGAGCTGTGTCTTAACACTGATAAACTACATTAATGTCTTGTTTAAATAGGTCTCTTGACACACAACCACACACTGAGTACCAGGTTCACTATCAGGGGGACAGAGGGCCTGCTAGAAGTCCAGATCTCATTGGCATGCAATTTACTTATGTAGTAAATCCTCACGTGTACCTCACAAACCTAAAAAGAAAAATGTAAGTAAATAAATAAATGAGTAGGCCAGGCGCAGTGGCTCAAGCCTGTAATCCCAGCGCTTTGGGAGGCTGAGGCAAGAGGATTGCCCGAGTCCAGGGGTTCCAGACCAGCCTGGGCAACTTGGTGAGACCTCGTCTCTACAATAAATAAAAAAAAATACTGGGCATGGTGGTATGTGCCTATAGTTCCAGCTTCTTGGAAGGCTGAGACAGAAGGAATGCCTGAGCCCAGCAGATTGAGGTTGCAGTGGCCATGAACGTATCATGCACTCCAGCCAGGGTGACAGAGTGAGACTCTAACTCTAAATAAATAAATAAATGAGTGAGTGAGTGAGTGAGTGAATGAGTGACTAGAAAGGGCCAAGCTCGGTGGCTCATGCCTGTAATCCCAGCAGTTTGGAAGGCCAAGGTGGGAAGATTGCTTCAGCACAGGAGTTCAAGATCAGCCTGGGCAACATAGCAAGACCTCATCTCTACAAAAATCAATACATTAGCCAGGCATGGTGGTGTGTGCCTGGAGTCAGGATTACTCACGAGCCTGAAGCAGGTTTGCCTGAGCCCAAGAAGTCACTCGGGCAACAGAGACAGACCCTGACTCAAAAAGAAAAAGTGCGTAGAAAGGTTTTCAGTTTACTTTAGTCTTATAACTGTTCTGGGATTTATGGAATGAAACATCCCAGATGTTGGTGTTTTCCTCGGGGTGCAGCCAGCCCTGGCCAGTCCATCTCTTCTAGCATGTTGAAGGAGTTACCAGAGCTCATGATAGATGTGTACCTAAGACTTGTTTCTCTGCATTCTCCTTAGACGCTCTGCCTACAGAGAAATGCTCCAGTGTTTCGTCCTCTGTGCATTTCTCATAGCACAGGGACCCTAATTCAAGGCCCTAATGAAAATTAAAAACCCACTCATTGGGAGCATCTGTGCAGATCTGAGCCTTGAGATCTCAGAAAATTTGGTAGAAAGACTCTCCCATGCTCTTGGTAATGCAAGCAGAATTTGATGTAGTGAATTATAGTATCAAAACTTGCAAGTTAGGGCTAAATATACTTAGGTTTGTGAGCAGTTGCTCTAAATGCTTACTTTTATTATCCTTAGCTTTCTTATCTTTACAGTGAAAGTGCTTATGTGTTAGTAAGAGGAATAAGATAAATCTGTGAAGAGAAACCTGGCAAATTATATTAGGTAAAAAATTATGTCTAAAATTATATATGGCATAATCCCATTTGTGTAGGCAAACAAAAATAGATATTCATACTTACATGGATTTTGTTTTGTTTTTTAGTCAGGGTCTCACTCTGTCTAAAAAAAACAGCAGCCACAACCTCCTGGACTCAGGTGATTCTTCTAAAGTGTTTGCAGGCCTGTCCTTACAGAGAATAAAGGATTTAAGTTGTGTGTAGGGTAAGAGAGCCTACCACTTTTTTTCTGAATTCTTCTCTATGATTTTTAAAATATTAAACAGCTGTTTATTTATTACTTTTAGTTTAAATTTTCATTTAATTAAAATTTTTTAAAGTAAGCTTAGACCTTAAGAGAGCAGGAATGTGTTTGTGTGTACATGCACACACAAGTATGTACTTTTGTGCTTGTCTGGTGTTTGCATAAACACTGGAAGACAGAGCAAACTAACAGTGGTCATTGATAGGGACTGGGACAAAGGGAAAGATGGAGATAAGCAGATATATCAATTTTTATCTTCTTATATATTTTTTATTTTTAAGCTATGTTATTATCCCCTAAAAACACGTGTATATTTTTTTTAATGGAAAAAGAAACAAACCTAGAAATTGAAAACAGAGAAGGGAAGGGGCAGGGGAAGGGAATTTTGCATGAGTGATCCCTAATAAATGTTTTCAACCAGATGTAGTGATATATGCCTGTAGTTCCCTGCTTCTTGGGAGGCTAAGGCAGGGGGATCTCTTGAGCCCAGGAGTTCCAGTCTGTAGTATGCAATGATCACACCTGTGAATAGTCACTCTACCCTGGACAACATAGTGAGACCCCCATCTCTTAAAAAAAAAAAGTTTTCTTAAAGTACCATGTAAATATGAAATATGATGTAAGCTGTGGTCAGTGGCTCATGCCTGTAATCCCAGCACTTTGGGAGGCAGAGGTAAGAGGACTGCTACTACACCTGTAGTTCCAGCTATTTGGAAGGCTCAGACGGAAGGATCGCCTAAGCCCAGCAGATCAAGGCTGCAGTGGCCATGAATGTGCCACTGCACTCCAGCCTGGACAACAGAGTGAGACTCTGACTCAAAAAAAAAAAAAAGGAATATGATAGAAACAATGATTTTTAATTCAAGATAAATAAAGTTATAATTTTTCATTTTTTAAGGCACCGTATAAACTTGAGTTCAGACTTCTTGATTACTCCTGATTTTTACTGGGACAGAGAAAACCTGGAAGAACTTTATGATAAAACTTGTCAATTCCTTAGCATTACCCGAAGAGTGAAGGTATGTATTTTGTACTTTTACTGAGAGGATACGTTGTTCCCTATAAATTAAGTGAATATGTTTTAACTGCTTTCAGGGAACTAGCTTGTTTGACTCCTGTTCAGATCACTTTATATTTCACCTTTCTCTTGACCTCTACATAGTCACTTTTCAACTTCTCATGTCCAAGGGTCTTCTACTATTAGCTCTATAGACTAGATAAGATCGGTGAGCGTGTGGAGGCCTAGTGGTCCAACAGGAAGTTCTTGCTGAGTTTTAAGCAAGAGTTCATGGTGTCCTGAACTGTAATGGTGACAGTGTAGTGTGACATTGTGTTCCACATGTGTAGACCCACATAACCACACAATGAAGATACAGAACTATTTTATCACCACAAAGATCTCTCTTATGTTGTTTATAGTCACACCGCCCTCCTACCCCTGTCCCTAACCTCTAGCAGTGAGTAATCTATTCTGTCTCTATAATTTTGTCTTTTTGAGAATATTATATACATAAAATCACATAGTTATGTGACTTTTTAAACTGGCTTTTGTAACTGAGCATAATGCGCTTTGTTGTTGTGTGTATCAATTCCTGCCTTCCTGCAAGTTACTTCAACTTTTTTTGGAATTTCATGTTGACATAATCTATACTGATTGCTTTTTAATATATCATTTTGCATAGATATTTAGTGGTTGTCCTGGGTATTATATGAACATAACTTATTATGGTTCACTTGTTTCAACATTTTGCAGAGTAATGAAGTATAGAATCTTTGCTTCCTCTTACATCCCTTTACCCTCCCCTATTGATAATTGTCTTAACAATTATTCTTCTGCAAACTTAGAGAACTTTATCATATAGTGTTATAATTTTTACTTCAGCCATCATACATAATTTAGAAAACTCAAGAGAAAGGCATTGGACTTTCATGGTTGTAGACTGTACAAACAGGCTGAAGGTCCAGCAGATGTAAAAGAGGAATACTAAAAGCTTTATACAGATAAGGTGTCTCCTGTGGTTGTATCAGTTAGCTATCAGTGTGTAACAAATTACCCAAAACTTAGTGGATTAAACAGCACTTACTATCTCAGTTTTTGTGGGTCAGGAATCTGGGTGCCGCTTAGGTGGGTCCTCTGGCTCTGGGTTTCTCACAAGGCTGCAGTCATCTCATGAACTCTCTTCCTAGTGGGATTCAGTTCCGCTCGGGCTGTTGGACTGAGGCCTCAGTTCCTCATGAGTGCCTGGCCAGAGTGCCTGCCTCCCTCTGTTTCTTGCCAGAGGCTTTTCTGTAGAGCCTCTCACACTGGCAGCTTGCAAGAGAGACTGAGTGAGCAAGTCAGAGTGAGCAAGAGAGACTGTCAGGAAGAGAGAGGTTGCTGGCAAGACAAAAGTCAGTCTTTTGTAACCTAATCACAGCAATGACATCTTATCACTTTTTCTGCGCTTTGTTTGTTAAAGGCAAGCCATTGGGCCCAGCCCGCTCTCCAGGGCAGGGGATTACACCAAGAGGTAGGGGACCTGTGAGTGGCAGGTAAGATGTCTGCCTACCACAATGATTTTTTAAAAGATGGGAGAAAATTCTAGAAGCCTACTTTGTGAACACTGACCCACGTGATCCCTCATACTGCCAATTACCTTAATGGTTCCCAGCTTCTCAAACCATGAAAGATGCTGGAACCATTTCTGATCTCATTGTGTTCAGAATCACCACTGAGTCAGCTGCTGCTACCACTTGGCTTGAACAAGAAAATTGATGCCGAAAGTAAAGTTCTGATCTTTGACCTGGGTGGTATTTGTTACGTGTCCTTCCTCACTATTCAAGATAGAATTATTGAAGTCAGGTCTATAACTGAGGATACCTTGACAACTAAGTGGCCAACCATTTCATGACTGAGATCAAGTGCAAGTATAGAAAAGACAGCAAGCCAGGATCGGTGGCTCAGCCTGTAATCCCGCGCCTTTGGGAGGCTGAGGTGAGTGAATTGCCTGAGCCTGCAGGTTTGACACCCACTTGGGCAACTTGGTGAGACCTCATCTCTACAATAAATCAAAAATTGGCTGGCTTGGTAGCACGCGCCTGTAGTTCCAGCTACTTGGAAGGCTGAGGCAGAAGGATCGCTGGAGCCCAGCAGGTTGAGGCAGCAGTGGCCGGGAGCATGCCGCTGCACTCCAGTCTGGGTGACAGAGTGAAATTCCAACTCAAAAAAAAAAAGAAAAAGAAAAGACAGCAGTGGCCTGGCACAGTGCCTCATGCCTGTAATCCCAGCATTCTGGGAGGCTGAGACAGGAGGATTGCATGAACCCAGGAGTTTGACACCAGCCTAGGCAACATAGGGAGACCTTGTCTCTACAAAAAAATTCCAGATGTGATGGCAAGTGCCTATAGTCCCAGCTACTTGGGAGGCTGAGACAGAAGGATCGCCTGAGCCCAGTAGGTTGAAGCTGAGGTGAGCCATGCCACTGGGCAGCCTGGGCAACAAAGTGAGACCCTAACTCAAAAAAAAAAAAAAAAAAAAGGAAAGAAAAGGAAATAAATCAGTGAGAACAAGTGGCTGCCGACATCCCTACCTATAGAGGGGTACTGAGTATACTTTTTCTTCCAGTATTGAGGCCAGTTTGAGATGGAGTCGCTCTAAGAAGGGATTAACATCTAGACTTGTTACACATGAGCAGCTGAAAGAATCGAATGCTGACCCAGTCTCTGGCACTGTAGACCTGTGGAGAAAGCCATAAGTAAGACCAGCTAGACAAGTCACCAATCCCTCATAGGTGACTCTGTCTATATTCCCAAGATTTACAGTTTCCTACAGGAAGAAGTAAAACAGTTTGTTCCCAAACAATGTGATCTTACATGTAGAAAACCCTAAAGAGTCTACAAAAAAGCTAGCCGGGCATGGTGGCTCATGCAGGTAATCCCAGCACTTTGGGAAATGGAGGCGAGAGGATTGCCTGAGTCCACAGATTGGAGACCAGCTTGAGGAACTTGTCAAGACCTCATATCTACAATAAATTTTTTAAAAATTAGCTGGGCATGGTGGCACATTCCTGTTGTTCCAGCTACTTAGAAGGCCAAAGTGGAAAGATCGCCTGAACCTGGCAGGTCAAGGCTGCAGTGGCCATGAGCATGCCACTGCACTCCAGTCTGGGTGACAGAGTGAGACTCCGATTAAAAAAAACTACTAGAATAAGTGAATTTAGGTTCTAAGATCAATTTATAAAAACAATTGTTTATACTGTCAATGGGCAATTAGAAAATGACATTTTAAATCTATCATTTACAATAGCACTAGAAACGTGAAGTACTCAGGAATTGATTTTTTCAAATATAAGTAAGATCTGTACCCTAAAAACTAAAAAAGGTGGCTGGGAACTAAAGAAGTTCTAAATAAATGAAAATATATTCCACATTTGTGGCATAGAATACTATTATTAAGATGTTACTTATGCAGATGAGCCCACTCAGTTCTAATCAATCAAAATTCCAGTAGGCTTTTTTTTTTTAGAACTAGCAAACTAATTTTAAAATGGAATTTCAAGGGGCACAGATTAGCCAAAGCAATTTTGTAAAAAGGGCTAGATTGGAGGACATCTATTGCCTGATTAAACTCACACTAAAGCTACATTAATCAAAGCAGTTGAACACTGGCATAAGAATACACATACAGATCAATGCAATAGAATAGCATCCAGAGATAAAACCATACACACATGGCAGTTGATTTTTAACAAAGGTGACAAGTTAATTCAATAGCAAAGGGATAGACTTTTCAACAAATGGTACGACATGGAATGAACATATGAAAAAAATGATCCCTGACTCATACTTCACCATTTTGAAGAATATAAGAGGGAGCATTATAAAACTTAAGGAAAAAAGCCTATGACCTTAGGACAAGCAGAGTTTTCTTAGGATTTAAAAAAAAAATGGACCACAAAAAAAAAAAAAAAAAACTTGAAAGTTGAACTGCATAACTTAAAACTTAAAAATTTATAATTTCTGCTCTTCAAAAGACTCTAAGAATGTGCAAAGGCAAGACACAGATTAGCAAGAAACATTCTCAGTACATAATCCTGAAAAACAACTTGTTTAAAATATATAAAGAACTTTTTATTCAGTAATAAAAGGACAGCCCAATTTTTTAAATGGGCAAAACATTTGAACAGATGCTTCACAAAAACAGACACACAAAGAGCCAAATGAAAAGCACACAGAAAGATATTCATCACCATTGTTTATCAGGAAATTGCAAATTAAGACTTCAGTTAAGTATCCCTACAGCAATTGAAATGGCTAAAATTTAAAAGACCGATAATACTAAGTATTGGTGGTGATATGGAGTAATTGAAACTTGCACACATTATTGAATATACATTGGTACAACCACTTTGCGAAATAGCTTGGCAGTTTCTCATAAAGTTAATCATCATTTTACCATGTGACCCAGCAATTCCACTAAGCATTTACTCATGAGATTTGAAAACCTATGTCCTCACATAGTAACTCTACTCATAATAGTCAGAAATTGGAAATAACCAAATGCTCACCACTAGGTGAATAGAAAAATTATGGCATATCTTTATAGTTGAATACCACTTAGTAATAAGAGTAATTACCAATTCATGCAACATCATGGATAAGTCTCAAAACTCAGTGTGAGTAAAAGAACACAGACACCAAAGTGTACATGCTGTTTATTATGAAATTCTAGAAAGTCCTATATAGGCACAGAAGACGGATCATTGATTCCCCACAGCTTGAGGGGTGGCTGGATAGCTGGGCAGATGGCAGAGGGGCACAGGGAACTACTGGAAATGCAGTAGTAACATTTGTCAAAAGCCTTTATAAGTTGTATACTTGGGGGGGGTGCGTTGTATGTCTCAAAAAAGTTGATTTGAAAAGAAACTCTCTTGTAAGAATTCTTTGGAAACAACCATATTTACCAGGGACAAATACAGAGGTATTCAGAAGTGACTGCTTGGATACTCCTCCTTTTTCTGTTCGTGTGGAGACTTCTGGGGGAATCATGATGGTTGTGATGAGATATATTGCCACCAAGTAGATGCAGACTTCTCTCCCTCTTCTGATAACTAGCCTGCTCTGCTTAATTAAGTTATAAAAGTGACTGAGAGCCAGGCATGGTGCACTTTGGGAGGCCGAGGCGAGAGGATTTACTGAGCTCAGGGGTTCAAGACCAGCCTGAGCAACATGGTGAGACCTCATCTCTAAAATAAATCAAGGCATTACCCGGGCATAGTGGCACATGCCTGTGGTTCCTGCTACTTAGAAGACTGAGGCAGAATGATTGCCTGAGCCCAGCAGGTTGAGGCTGCAGTGGCCATGAGCATGCCACTGCACTCCAGCCTGGGCGACAGAGTGAGACTCCAATTTAAAAAAAAAAAAAAGTAACTGAGCAGTAACCGGCTGCATTGCAAGTTTGAACTCAGGCATACCCGCTGCATCCTGTGGCCTCCTTCAAGATTACAGTCACCAACAATGAAGGTTTGAGCAAGGAATATAGTATATGGTCCAGAGAAGTATGAAAGGAAGGATGTCTTTGAAAACTTACTCAGAGCCCTTTTATTCAACATGGATGCCACAGTGGAAGATGAGAAATGTCAGAAAGGGATCAATAATGAAAACAAAAGTACAGTGAATAATCAACTAGCTGGACAAAAATTGAACAACTAGGAAGGAAAGGGAAAACCTGGAGAAAGGAAGGGATGTGCCAGGAAGGGCTTTGGGGCTTGCCTGGGAACTGAGCTCCTCTGAGTGGAAGGGCTGCTTCCAATCCATCACTGGAAAGCTGCCTGGGCAGCCTGGAGAGCAAGCAGAGCAGGTAGCACTCACCCCCAGCATAGAGGGTTTCTGTAACAAGTCAGTTCTTTGGCAGTTGCTTTGAAATATCTTGTGTGAACTGCATTCATGCATTGCACATTTCAGTCAATAATGGACCATATATATGATGGTGGTACCATAAGATTATACTACTATATTTTTACTGGGCCGTTTCCATGTTTAGATCTATGTTTAGACACATAACTACTATTGTGCTACAGTCCTTACAGCATTCTGTACAGTCCCATCCTGTTCAGCTGTGTGGCATGAAGCCATAAGCCATGCTGAATAGCCAAGGTACGTAGTAGTCTGTACCCTCTAGGTAGGTTCACTCTGTGATGTTCACACAACAATGAAATTGCCTAATGATACACTTCTCAGACTAGATCCCCATCATTAAATGATGCATGATTAAATATATAAATATAGTAACTGACTTATGAATGCTTGAGTACACAGGGAGAATGTGTCAGTACTATAAACTGAATGCATGCTGTAAACATGAAATAGTTGTCAATTATACCTCAACCATACTGGGGAAATAGAGTGAAAAATTCAGGTAATATCCTGAAGAACAAAAATAAAAGGCTATTTAATATGGCACCATTTAAAATATATATCTCAGCCGGGCTCGGTGGCTCAGCCTGTAATCCCGCACCTTTGGGAGGCTGAGGTGAGTGGATTGCCTGAGCCCATGGGTTCGAGACCCGCCTGGGCAGCGAGACCTCATCTCTACAATAAATCAAAAAAATCAGCCGGGCGTGGTAGCACACGCCTGTAATTCCAGCTACTGGGAAGGCTGAGGCGGAAGGATCGCCGGAGCCCAGCAGGCGAGGCTGCGGTGGCCGGGAGCGGCCACTGCATTCCAGTCTGAGTGACAGAGTGAGACTTCAACTCAAAAATAAATAAATAAAATACAATAAAATAAAATATATATCTCTAGCCAGGTGCAGCAGCTCATGCCTATAATCCCAACACTTTGGGAGGCGGAAGCAAGAGGATTGCATGAGCCCAGGAGTACGAGCCTAGCCTGGGCAATTTGGCAAGACCTCCTCTCTACAACAAATCAAAAAATTAGCCAGTCATGGTGGTGTGCACCTGTGGTTCCGGCTACTTGGAAGTCTGAGGTAGAAGGATCACCGGAGCCTAGCAGGTTGAGGCTGTGATGGCTGTGAGCAGGCCAGTGTACTCCAGCCTGGGTGAGAGTGCAATTCTGACTTTAAAAAATAATAGTAAAGTATGTATCTCATGTACTTTCACATTGTGATTTAATTCATTCTTTCTATGTCCTTGGGACAGGACTAGCCCTACCCACATTCTGCCTGATGAGCCCAAACATCACCTCCTAGGAGAAGTTTCCTAGTAATTTTTAGATGTGTGCCTTGGACCACATACAGTGATTCACATCTATGATTCTAACACTTTGGGAGGCTGAGATAAGAGGACTGTTCAAGGCCAGGAGTTCAAGACCATACTGGACAACATAGACCCCTCGTCTCTACAAATAATTTTAAAAGTAATAACAGATATGCCTCTAACCCTTTTCTCCCATTTGCCTTCCAAACGTTTTCAATTACCTCCTAAATCTCCAGGTCCTCCATTTTTACATATCTCATAGCATCCTTTTCAAAATTATTATGTGCATCATTCCCTAACAGAGTGTAAGCTCCGTGAAATCAAGACCATGATTATTATCTTCCCAGTTCTTGGTACAGTATGTACTCAGTATTTATTTGTAGACTAAATCAGTGATTGAGATTTCCAAATGAAGTCATTGTATTCTCCCAGAAAATGTTAAACCTTCTTTGTTCTGTTTTAACCAATGGGAGGACCCCCCTAGTCTCACCTATCTAGTCAATCAGAAACTTGAAAGTCATCTGGGTGTCTTTCTGCTTCACCCTCTACATCAGTCTTTTCATTTACCTTGAAAGTGAAATCATTTCATAGTATCATTCATTCATTGGTAAATATTTATTGAAAATGTAAGCGATGGACCCTGGACTAGTAACATAGAAGGGAACTGTACTGATCCCTGCCTTCAAGTCCCCAACTGTAAATGTGCTTCTCCACAGTCCCGCACCCTCCTCCCTCCCCTGGACTAGTCTAACAGCTTCTTCACTGTCTCAGCCTTCACACTGGACCCTTTTCCAATCCCTCTGTACCCTTTGGCTGAAGGTAGAGACATGTCTTTTTCACCATTTGATCTCCACAGACCCAGTCCACTACAGTAAACATTAAATGTTTCAAGACTGAACAAAATCCCCATTGCCTGCAGAATAAAGCTCAGATGTTCTAGCATGGTGTATTAGTTTCCTATTGCTGCTGTAACAAATTACACAAACCTAGCAACTTAACACAAATTTATCATCTTACAGTTCTACAGGCCAGAAATCTGGGTGTTGCTGAGCTGAAGTCAAGGTGCAGATTCTTTTCTAGAGGCTGCTGGTGGGATCCGTTTCCTCACCTTTTTCCAGTGCCTCAAGGTTCCCCACATTGCTTGTTCATAGCCACTTCCTCCAACTAGAAAAGGCGAGTTGAGTCCCCACATCGTATCATTCTGAATTCTTCGGCTTCCCATTTCCCCTTGTGATTGCATTGGGCTCACCCAGATTATCTAGGATCCTCTCCAGGTTGCTCTCAGTTATTAGCAACCTTAATGTCATACGTAATCTTAATTCTCCTCTGCCATGTTTTCATACTCACAGGTTCCATGATTCTCCTCTGCCATGTTTTCATATTCACAGGTTCCATGAATATCTTTGGGGTGGAGGCGTGATTGTGCCTATACCATGTGTGCTGCACAGTACCTCCCAGCTTGGCACTAACTTACCTTAACCTCATTGCCAAGCACTGCCTTTTGGGTTGTCCACAATGTAGCTATGCTTATCTCCCTGCCCTTTCCTATACTTGAAATGTACCCCTTCTGCCCCCTCCCCCCTTTACTCCTGCCAACTTCCTTCTACTTAAAGCCTTGTTCACACTGACCCCGTGAGGCCTCCTCTGTTTTTTTCCTATACTCTGTGTGCAAGTAAGGTGCATGCCTCTATGGCAAAATGAAATGAGGCGCAGGCAGTAGTAGGGATTCTTACTTGCACATTTCAGTGTGTTGCCAAGCGCTTGGGATGAGGTTTGGAACTATGATAGATTTAATAATTAAGAGACTTTTGGAGGTTTAGGGGAGTTGTGGTAATAAATACAAGTGGAGTGAAAGAAAACGGGAGATGGCAGTCAGTAGTTTGAGAAAGACAAGCTTAAGGATGAACATGTCATAGACCAAGATCAAGCAGGCAGCAGGAATAGAAAAAAGGGAGGGGAAAGGAATGAAGGAGGCATGCTCTATAAATGCAGATTAGAAGCCAACGGGGTGTCCACCAAGTGTGGAAACAGGCAACTCGTGACCAGTGTGGTTCATTGTTATTCCTCATTAGTAAGGCAGTGCCTTGTTCTGTGCAGGATCACAGTTCATGCAGTGCACTACATCAGTCCCTGAACATGTCCCTGAAAATTTATCTCAACATTCACTGACCAAACCTGTGCCTTCAGAATACCCCATGGGAGAATAAAACTATTTTAAAAATCTGCTTCCAGACTTCCTGGTTTCCAGAAGTGATATATATAAAGTAGGTATATAACTTGCCAGTAGTTAAGTCCAAGTTTAAATTCAGATTCTTTGAACCCCTGCAACCAGCTCGTTTTGAGGCATCCTAAGGTAGATTGCAGCTCAGTGAAAAGCTGTGCCATCTAGTGGTGAGTGTGCTGCAGGCCAAATGGGTTAGAGGCTTTTTGGAAGATAATCACTGTTTTTTGGTATCTTTAGGTCATGCTAAAAAAAAAAAAAAAAAAAATTCAAGTTTTCCTTTTTTAACTGCTAAAAACCCAAGGGCAGCTACCAAAAACTAGGACTCAAAAACCTTATTTTTAGGTTTTTCCATCAAAATCTCAGAGAAGAACTTTAGTATGCCAAGTACTTCTTGCAATTAAATCTGTGCATTACAAAATATCTCTAGATGAATTCACAATAAACCGGGTAACACTAACTGGTTGCCTTTTGGGGGAAAGGACTGGGGAGCAAGAGTTGAAAGGATTATTTTTGCTGTGTCCTTGTAGAATCTTATGCATGCAACTATACTATTTACTTACATGATCTACGTAGAAATACACGGTACGATTTTTCTTACACAGGTCATGAATGAAAAACTTCAGCACTGCATGGAACTGACAGATCTCATGCGGAATCATCTGCATGAGAAGAGGGCACTCCGCTTGGAATGGATGATCGTCATCCTCATCACCATAGAGGTACAACAGAAACAGTATCACTTACCATCTTCTCACAGACATAAGGGCTACAGTCATAACATAGTTTGAGATAGAAAACTAGCAGGAAAGATGACTTTGAGTTGTAGTCTCACTCTGTTGCCCAGGCTGGAGTGCAGTGGCACACTCACAGCTACCCCATCGACCCGCTAGGCTCCAGCAATCCTTCTACCTCAGTCTTCCAAGTAGCTGGAACTACAGGTACATGCTACCACGCCCGGCTACTTTTTGATTTATTGTAGAGGCGAAGTCTTGCCAAGTTGCCCAGGCTGTTCTCGAACCCGTGGGCTCAGGCAAGCCACTCGCCTCGGCCTCCCAAAGTGCTGGGATTACAAGCTGAGCCACCAAGCCCAGGTGGATGACTTTGTTTTAATTACAAATTATATTTGGAAGTGAGGTAAGTTTCAAATAGCAACAATATATTGCAAATACATTAAATGTAGTTTTTGAAAAGGTTCCACACATTTTTAAAGACAGTAAAAATGTATAACATAACATCAAGTACCTGTGCCTCAGATGTGCAGCTTGCCATGTGAGAAAAGCAAATATTTACCTTTGCTTCAGGAGCATTTTTCATTAATCATTGTCTTGGAAAAGTCATTTTTGTTTTTTTAGTTGGAGTCTGTTTCCCAGGCTGGAGTGTAGTGACATGCTCACAGCTCCCATAACCTCCACTTGCTGGGCTCAGGCAATCCTTCCACCTTGGCCTTCCAAACAGCTGAAACCACAGGCATGCACTACCTGGCACTAATTGTTTTTATTATTGTAGAGATGAGGTCTCACCATGTTGCCCAGGCTGGTTGTCATTTTTGTTTATACCAATAGTTTGTCTGACATGAAATTACTTCTTTTTATCCTAAGGTAATGTTTGAGCTGGGACGAGTATTTTTCTGATCAAGTGATAACAAGCATCACTGCAACAGATATTCAAGTTCTACAATCAAAAGATAAATGTTCACTACTGAGCAATCTCTTATTTAATAGGTATTTAACTTTTTTGTTATAATGATCCTTTCCAGCTCCAAATATATGTGAATAAAAATTACAAAGAATCTGGTGTTTGTGTCTGTATCACTGACAGTACAAAGAAAAGTATTTCCCTTTAAAGAACATTTGATAACCTTAGCGACTAGGAAATCTAGGTAGAGATACTTCTTAAAGCCAAAGGCTTGTATTTTGGACACAGCTTACCCAGAGAGAACTATATAGGGACTAAGGAGTGTTGAAATCAGTACACACGAGTTTTTGATGGCAGAAATTTTATATATATATATATATACACACACCTATTATAGATGGTATAATTTGAGTATGTTCACCGGCGCTTCACCTTTTATTAATCAATACCTTCTTTCTGTCCTTTCACCAAGTTAGTCACAGTGTTTTTCCCAGACACATTTTTGTTTCACACATTCTTTGGGGGAATCAAAATACTAGGCACAAAATATATTTACCATCTTGACAATTAACATTTTAAAAAGCATATCTGGCCGGGCGTGGTGGTTCAAGCCTATAATCCCAACACTTTGGGAGGCCGAGGCGAGAGGACTGCTTGAGCCCACAGGTTCAAGACCAGCTCGAGCAACTTGGTGAGACCTTGTCTCTACAATAAATCAAAAAATTAGCTAGGTGTGGTGGGGCACGCCTGTAGTTCCAGCTACTTGGAAGGCTCAGGTGGAAGGATCGGCTGAGCCCATCAGGTTAAGGCTGAGGTGGCTGTGAGCATGCCACTGCACTCCATCCCGGGCGACCGTGAGATTCCAACTCAAAAAGGCAAATATTTCCAATGTCTTATTTTTATGCATAACCACCCTTGCCCTGCTATAGGCCCTACACAGAGAATTTTTCTTTATATATATATATTATATACCATTGTTTTGCAACTTGTTTAACTATTACGTGATAGTCCACCAAGAGAATAAACACCTTTATAAGTGTTGCGATAACAGTGCAAGGTGAACATCTGATGTCTGTCTGCATGTTGCAAGTTTGTTTGTTTTTTTCATTGGAGTCTCATTCCATCACCAAGACTGGAGTGCAGTGGCACACTCATGGCCACCCCAGTTTCGACCTGCTGGGCTCTGGCGATCCTTCCGCCTCAGCCTTCCAAGTAGCCGGAACTACAGGCGTGTGCTACCACGCCCGGCTAATTTCTGATTTATTGTAGATGCAAAGTCTTGCCAAGTTGCCCGGGCTGGTCTCGAACCCATGGGCTCAGGCAATCCATTTGCCTCAGCCTCCCAAAGCGCTGGAATTACAGGATGAGCCACCAAGCTCGGCCTGCAAGTCCTTAAGTAGCTGTCTTCCATCTGAGGACCTGTACCACAATGGTTCCCAATCACCAAGGAGCATGTAGGCATGGATAGTTCAAGAACTACTTTATAGATCAAGATCCACCTAATTTTTACAAAATCAACATGGCCTGTGCACACACCTGCAAAACACCTATCAAGCCTGTTCTCCTTAACACACAGAAGACAGGCATCGGTCACCTATCCTGAATAGTTTAGTCCTCTATACTTAATAACTTTTAAATATATTTAATCTATTTTTTCTAAGACTCTTGGGAAGTCACACAAGAGGATAATTTGAAAGACTGGTCAATGCAGCCTCCTTTAATTGAGGCCATTGTACTTCCCCCCATCTACTAAGAGGTGAAATTCCAATAAAACTGTACTCCAAGAATCAATGTGTACAACTTGCTGTTTGGGTCAATTGACTAGTAATAACAATTGGAATAATTAAAGAAAAAACTTGAACATTTAGTGTCTTATGGTTATGGCAAATTAAAGTTCAACATTTGAATTTATATGCAAAGAACAAAAGGATGATCAAAAGACTTTGATAAACATTTATTAGTATATAGTTTTGTGGGGGAAATGTAACAAATACAGTTTCAAGAAGAAAAACAATATTAAATCTGCAGTTAGCCTATGTTTAAATGGATCGTGGTGAACATCAACTCATTAAGGTATTACATTCCACTTTTTTAAAAGTGATAAAACAGCCAGGCTCGGTGGCTCAGCCTGTAATCCTGCGCCTTTGGGAGGCTGAGGAGAGTGGATTGCCTGAGCCCGCGGGTTCGAGACCCGCCTGGGCAGGCGAGACTTCATCTCTACAATAAATTAGCTGGGCGTGGTAGCGCACACCTGTAATTCCGGCTACTCGGAAGGCTGAGGCGGAAGAATCACCGGAGCCCAGCAGGTCAAGGCTGCGGTGGCCGGGAGCGGCCACTGCACTCCAGTCTGGGCGACAGAGTGAGACTCCAACTCAAAAAAAAAAAATAGTGATAAAATAGCTTTATTTTAAAGTATCAATATTGAAATTTTCATTTTCTTAAAATATTTATGATTTAAAACTTCAACTTAAATTATGGAAGAGTCTTAAAAATTACACTGGTTATAACACAAGTAAAAATTATCTTCAAGACTACCACCTCTGTAATAACAAAAATGACCACAAAATTACACCAGAATATTAAGAACTAAAGTACATTCACCATTGGCTCCCAAAGTCTTCCAAGTGGTACCAAATTTCTATCACAAATGAGAGCACACTGGTTAACACTAACATGCATTTGAATCCTTACTTCACCACCACTTACCAGCTGTATCACCTTGGGACAATCACTGAACCTCTGGGCCTTAATTTCCTCATCTGTAGAATGGGTTTAATAATAGTAGTATCTCACAAGGGTTTCTGTGAGAATTAATGAAATATGTAAAGCGCAGAGTAAAAATCCATGTAGGAGTCTGAGATTAAATGGAAGCTGAATCAAACTCTCAGGATTCCCCCCACTTTGAGCATTTATTTAAGAAACACAGTAAATGAGGCTTATAGATGTTACTGGATCCTGAGTTGGAATAGAATGATTCACTTAAATATAAAACTTTATTTCCACTGTATAAAATGGATTGGCTCTTCAATGCAAATTCCAAAAGACTTTTTTAAACTCTATACATCTTGTGTATGCCAGGCAGCTGCCAACAAGTATTCTGCAGTGCCTTTTTGGATAACTACAGCAGTCAGAAGCAGATTATTTTCTAATACATAAAATCAAAATCTTTTACATAAACCACCCACATTCACCTATTTTAAATTATTGTCCTGCCTTTCTATCACTTAGAGCATTTTTTCCTAGTATGGGCCTCGGTCCAACTGTATCAGCAAACTCCTAGCTTCCCCATGAATATTACTCATTGCTGAATTCCACACTTACTAAATCAGGACCACTGGGGCTGCAGCTAGGAAGTCTGTTTCTTACAATTTTTCAGGAGACTCTCATGCTCACCAAACACTGAGAACCACTAACTTAGAGTCTACTGGTTTATACTGGCTTAGACTTTAAATAGTTCACTGGAACTCACTAGGTATTGACTTCAAGTGATCACTCAGTTCTCTTGCTTTCTCATTCCCTGCACTCTGCCTTTGCAAAGTGAATGAGAAGTAGAGGGCATGTTTCTGAATGCTTCCACTCCAAATCCATTCCCTTTCAGCTCTCACCACTGGTTCTGAACTGCCATTTTAAAGGAAGATTTAAGGACAGTATTCTAAATTCCCTTTTCTCCTAGAGGGCTATTTTTTAAAGGCCACATTTTCACTTCCTCTGCAGAATTTAAAACAAAACATGGACTTAAATGTTTCTTTTAAGTATAAACTTAACTTTTAACTTCTACACGAGACTTGGGAAGCTGCTTACCATAAACAATTTTTTAAAATACTGCCAAAATAAAAAGATGAATAGAGTGCCTCTTGAACTCATCAAATGAAAACTATTATCAACAGCAAGAAACTAATATTTTGGAATTATATCAATTATGTAATTCTAGTCAAATCTAAACCTCTAGCCACAAAACCTTAAATTCAAGTTGTTGATTTTAATCTAAAAAGCCTCATGCGGTTTGGGAGCTGGTTACCTTAGAGATTTTTACTTCAAGCACCCTGTCGGCAATTAAGATTAGCTGAAATACTTGTCCAATGGTTCACTATTGAAACCTGATGAACTGGAATCCTCTTAGTTTCTTTGTATGTCTCTTTTCAGACAGGGTGACCAACTACCTTGGGTTTGCCTGGGACCAAGGGGTTTCCTGAGAGCAGCCAGATTTTCAATGCTAAAATTGGGAAAGTCCTGGGCAAACCAGAATTGGTCATGATATCTTTAGAGACCACATTTCATAAACTAGTGATTAAACAGCCACCTTTTCCAACTCAGGACTTCGCTGCAACTCTACAGATCTTTAATATGGATCCACTATTAAAAACAAGAACCAGCCGGGCTTGGTGGCTCAGCCTGTAATCCCGTGCCTTGGGAGGCTGAGGTGAGTGGATTGCCTGAGCCCACAGGTTCGAGACCCGCCTGGGCAACTTGGTGAGACCTCATCTCTACAAATCAAAAAATTAGCTGGGCGTGGTAGTACGCGCCTGTAGTTCCAGCTACTTAGAAGGTTGAGGCAGAAGGATCGCCGGAGCCCAGCAGGTCGAGGCTGCGGTGGCCGGGAGTGGCCACTGCACTCCAGTCTGGGCGACAGAGTGAGACTCCAACAAAAAAAAAAAAAAAACAAGAACCTTCCCTACCAATGATTGATCATTTTCTTTTTCTTTTTTGAGTCGGAGTCTCACTGTCACCCAGGCTGGAGTGCAGTGGCACACTCATGGCCACCATAGCCTCGACCTGCTGGGCTCAGGCAATACTTCTGCCTCAGTCTTCCGGGTAGCTGGAACCACAGGCACACGCCACCACGCCCAGCTAATTTTTTTATTTACTGTGGAGACATGGTCTCACCAAATTGCCTAGGCTGGTTTCGAACCCCTGGGCTCAGGCAATCCTCTCCCCTCTGCCTCCCAAAGTGCTGGGATTATAGGTGTGAGCTGCTGCATCTGGTCTGATCAATCATTTTCATGAGCCACTGCACCCCCTGGCCTGATCATTTTGATTATTTTCATAAAGTCAAACACTGCTGTTATCAGGGGAAGCAGTAATTTTTCCCTGTAAGTTCCATCATTTATTTCATTTTTAAACATAAAAATCCTGAGTCAAACACAACTTGAAGAA